AAGTCCTGTTTGTTTCACTCTGTGTTACCAGGCCAACCTGAACTCATACTACATACAGCCAATGAATGGAGTCTTTAACAGGGGAGTGGGTCCCATTCCCACAATTAAAAATCTGACCCCAGAATCTATCCATTGATGTCTGCTGATGATGCAGTGACATCACATTTTAGTCACTGGAACTTTATTATAAATGAGTACAATGAGATACGGTATTAATTTTAATTTATCCTCTTATCGTCCATTAGCTTCATTAGCGTTATTTCTTTATTGCTACACAATAAAGAAATAAGTTTCAATCTATATATTTTTAAAATATATTTTTAAGGTATTTCTCAAGTTTTATTTACATCGCAGGGAATTTAGTTACTGCAATTCTTCTGAAAACACTAGCTTAATTTGGAAGTACTTATCTAAACATGCTAAATGCAGAAATAGAATTCACTTTGGTCTTGTAAGGACAGTACTTCACTACTACTGAATTATTACTGTTTTTGTCAAACTTGTTCCAATTACAAATAACTCACAGTAATATGTTTACGCCTTAATATTTACTTTGGGGATGTGGTTCTTTGGGTTACACTCATCTCCCTTTCTTTTCCAAATATGACCAAAGCCGACTTTGTCTCTGGGTCTGCAAACGCATCCATTATTGAAGGACAGTTTCTCTAAAGTCCTGTTAAAAATCCCCCGCTCTGTAAATAAGACCTTAGTGAAAGGTTTTCTTTAATAATAAGAGATTCCTAAAGGTGTGATACTATTATAACAGTCCTGTGCAAACATCCCTCCAGACACAGAACTCAAAGTAGGAGCTGAATCCAGCCTGTTGTTGTCTCCCACTTCCTGTGGTGGTGGAAGGCAACAGGAAGCCAGGACCTGCTGTTACGCTACGTATTCTGTAGTATGTGGTGCCATGACATGACAGCAGTAATGCCTAGTGGGAAATGTCAGCCTCATATATTTGCTAAGCTTCTGCCTGCTTTCCTGACACAATAAAAAAACCCAAATCAAATATTTAACATGAAGCTTCATCTGAAGAACAGACTGCTTCCAGAATGAACCGTTAGAAGATCAGTCCAGGAATTTGATCTTTGTGGCTAACACGGCAGAAACTTAACAAATACTTTCCTCCCAAAGCCACAGCACCAAAGTGTGTGCTTTCTGTCTCAGTCCCTGATGCAGAAAGATCCTGGACAAACAGGAGAGAGTGTGTGGGGTGACCCACCAGCGGTCTGGCCACGCCCAATCAGGTCTTGGTGAAGTGAGGAGTGGAGGATTAAGTGGGGTGCAAAGGAAGAGGAACAAGGAGGAGTGGAGTAGGGTGGGGTGGTTGCTGCACAGTGTTGTGCATGTGGGGAGCTGATAAGGTGGGGTCGGTCTGAGGTGAGGAGGAGGAGCTCAAACCAGAAGAAGAGTCAACCAGTCCAAGAGTGTGAGATCAGAGAGAGTGAGAGACAGGAGGGACTACAGGTGACAACAACCAGGCGCAAACCTCTCGCTTCCACCATTCATAAGAGCGACCAATCAGATCTATGGATGCTGGGAAGCGACAGCTAAAGCAACCAGAGGATTAGTTGCAGTGAAAATCCAGCAAACCACTGATTTTGTGTCACAAGTACAACAGAATCATCTGAGTGGTTGATCGGCCGCCACCCTGCAAACTGTTTTTGGTGTGAATGGTTGAGCAGAAGTGTCCCACAGCTGCCTGGTTCCTGCTGGTTGTTCTCCAAGTCAGATGCCCAGATGTGTTTAGGATGGTGTGAGCTGGGAGGGAGGGGGTGGTTATGGGAGTAGAAAGGGGTAAAGGTGGGGGGTTATGGGAGCGTCAGGAGAGGGTGGGGGGGTCTCACTTGAAAGCAGTGGTTGAAAATCAGGCCAAATGAAGAGCTACGTGTTGACTTGAATGTTCTGTGAGATGACATGTTGGTTGGTTGGTTGGTTGGTTGGTTGGTTGGTTGGCTTTTAACCAGTTTCCCATTTGGCCAATTGTTAAGACACAAAGTTCGATGTGAGTATTTCCTAGTTTGTGTGATGAGGCAGCTTAAGCTGATCATTTTTGTACGTTTGGGTTTCTTAGTAAAAGTCAATTGAAATGCATGTGATTCTGCCAACAGTTTGGCTTCACTGTGACTTCACTCAGTCTCCCAGCTGCATCATGACTCGTTCTTTCACACTAACAAAGGCATGGAAGAGGATTGCGCGTGGAAAGGTGTGACTTCTTGGCTTTCATTTCCTGCTATTTAAAAAAAAAACAGCCCCCCCCCCCCATTGTAATGGACGCTTTTCATCCTCTTAGTTTGACTTTTTTTTTTTTTTCAGATCAGTTCTAGCATGCTTTAAACTGCTGAATGGGCATGCGGAAGGATCAGCTGCTTAGCTTTGGATCTTACCCTCATCCCTTCAAAACGTGACAAGGCTCTGAGGGGTCTCAAGGCCCTTAGTGTCCTGAGTGATTTAATGGGCCCTAGATCGGAGTAGCCCAGCGCATTAGCTACAAGGCTGACTATAGACACCTACACAAAAACAGAGAAGCAAAAGAGGTTCCAAACTGTTAGAAGTGAGAATATTCACTAGGGAAGAGAGACGGCCCTGGCATAGGTGGGCAGTTGCTCGACACACACACATAAATCTATGCATGTATATGCATGTATAATATTGCATTTATACATGCATATACACTAAGAGAGAAGGTCAATGTTTAGTATAGGATTTATGTGCGTAGTATTTTTTTAGTAGCAGTAGGCCATAGGGATTGTTTGTTATTTTGGGGCAGTTGACGAGATGTGAAAACTCCTTTGTACCTGCAAAAAACGGTGGTTGAGAGAGAGAGAAAGAGAAGAGATAGAGACATAAGAGGGTAAATTAGGCAGAGAAGACTGCTACATGATTTAGTCAAGTTACAAGCCAAGGGACGGGAGGAGGAAGGAGTCGAGGAAGGGGGAGGAGAAAGGTTACCCTGGAGAAGCTGATAAAAACCCAACAGACTTGAGAGCCTTACCCTTGCCCCTCTAACACTGTCTCTCCATGTCGCTCTTGGGCTGAGGCATAAAATCCCATATAATTTAAGACAGACAAACTAATGGAACCTAAGAGAAAGAATACAAGTAAACATGTACAAGTGTGTAATTTGGACATTTTTCTCATTTTGTTTTTTCTCAGACATCAAATCAAACATTGTGGACTCAAGAAGGAGAGACACGGTCACGTCATCACACAGATAACAGGGGAGGAGGTTGAGGATAGACTGGATAGTTATTAGCACTGGAAAAGGACAAAAATACACAGAGTACGGTCAAATGTACACACGGTTAAGAACAGGGTCTCAAGGAAACTGGTGCTCGCAGCAGCCGACAATAAACATTCTTAGGGGCGTAAAATTATGTAAAGTAAGTTTTTGTCTTTGGAATGATCCAAAGAGAATTTTAGGCAGTTATGAAGTTACTCCACTGCTCAGAAGTCTGGACGATCTGAGCTGAAGATATACGTATTCAGTCATTAGCAATACAGGAAATGTGCAGAGTACAGTGTGGTCAATACTCTACTCTCTAATGTCCTCTGACAGATACTCAGCGGTGGAGACGTGACCTGTCTATGTTGAGGTCACATCAAGTGTGTTTCAGCAGCCATTACAGACTTCCTGTGAAGCCTGGATCTTGAGATAAAATCATTTATTCTTGGTTGATAGAGTTTGTTTGTATCCTTTTAGGGACAAAGCGAACACTAGTTTCCTTTCCAAGGAGGGAAATAACAGTGAGAGTTTTAACAGTCAACACATTTTAGAGCATCTCTAACCATTCACCTACACCAACGGTTCAAACTCACCGGAAGGAGAACACAACATCCAAAGCTTACCAAAGTCACGGAGGGGGAAGATATTTCCAGGCCAAATCTTAATTTTAAGATTCTCAATTTCCAGGAAAGTTATTCCTTTTCAGAGTTAAAACCTAACTTATCAGGTAATGAATTTGATAAAAACTAATTCAAAAGTTGTTAAGATTAGATGAGGTCGAACTTTAGTTCCATTTCTGAGGTTATGGTCAGTCTTATTTGACTTAACCCACATCCTTCTGGATTAGATCCAGTTTTTGTTCAATTACTTCCAGTTTTGTCTTGACTTGTCTTTTCCTGTAGAAGATAAATCTGGAATGAAACATGCCGACTTTTGTGGAAAGTTGGAGTTTGTTAATTCTTATTTCAGTCCAGGATGTCCTGGATTAGGCCTTACACTCAAATTCAAATTCAAATGTCTAAATCTCTTATTTGTGGGATGATGTTTTCTGGTAAATTGGCAGTAAAATAAAGATTTGGCCTTTCTCCAAACCACAGTCTTTGGGGTAATTTTCACCTTCAGCCTGACCCCTTGAAGAGTCCCCTCTCCTTGGGGAGCCTGGCCTTTGGCCCCCTGCTGGGCCAGCTGTGCCGTAGCAGCCTCAGCGCATCAGTGTCCTTCTCACAGAGCACTGCAAGGCAGAGCCAATGACATCTGGGGCTGTGATCCCATGATGACGACAGCACAAACCCAGAGCCTCACAGAAAAAAAACAAACTGAAAACAAATGGAAAAGAAACACAACAAAACAATGATAATACTCTGAGTGAAAAAATAAAAATAAAAATGTGAATGGAGAATGACTCCCCCCTGTCTCACCCTCACCTAACCCTGACTGAAGAACTAGCATTAGAGAAATAGTTACTCCTATTTCTGCAACAGAAGGAAATAGTCAATACTGTACTCCTTTAGTTCTTTACATTACCTCTTGCGATAATGTAGTTATTGTTTAATACAGATTTACATCTATGACTATTACCTCAACAGTACCTTTCCTGCCCCTGATGTTTAGCCACATCACACATAAAAAAATAGCAAAAATTCCTGAAAATGAAAACAAGAGATAACGAAGCAAATGAAGGACAGAAAGATAAAACGCAAGGAAAATGAGGAGGAAATCATACACGGTAAAAGGAAAGATACAGGCCGGTTCAATGATGGTTGGCCCCGCCCCCACTCTCTGAGTCCATGGCAACGGTTTGACCCCACAAGACGGGACAAGGCAGAGGCAAATCACAAGCCAGACTCATCAAACACAAGCCTTTCTTGTGAAGGGGGAGCGCAAGTGAAGACCAAACTTACCACTGGCCGCCTGTCACCCACCATCATTACATCACAGCAAAGTACAACATCAGCACATTTCTGGGAGGGGGGTCAAGGGGGGGGGCTTTCAAGAAGAAACAAGAGGAAGGTGAGGAAAGAAAGGAAGGGGACGGACACCTCTGTCTGTTTGACATGTGCAGGTTTAACAGGGAGGCAGTTGGACATCTGAACTACTGTACGTTTAAGACAAAATATCATGTTGGCTCCTACACAGTGGTGTGCACAGGTCTGAGACCGCCACAAAAACGACCTTTGCTCATTGTCTGCTCTATCAGTTAACTTACATACGGTCCCTTAACAAGCCAGTTACTATGCACTGATTTTGTTGAGATTGCTGATCAGGCATGTTACATTTTTTATGTAATATCTGCTTAGGATCGAGCACAAAACCTGGATTTAAATTGGAATCTTTGGTTCATCAAAAAAAAAATTCTCGAAATGATAACAAAAAGAAACTATTTACAATAGGACACGACAAAAAAGTTGTGTGACAAGGGGTGGGGGCTCTGTAATGTTTCAGGGCTGCATTTCAGCCTGATTTAGCCGGGACTAATGTAAAATGTTGTCTTTATATTTTAAGTTGATTTATCTAATAATAATGCGCTTTTTTGTGTTACTTGTTACATATGTTGCCTTTTGACAAACATAGAAATAAATAAAGACTTGTGCTCACCACTGTAGCCATGAAAACAAAGCTGTTAGCTGTGGCAACAACTATGGATAGAAATGCTAATTCTCAGTCTATCTCATTCTGATTCTCTCTGCAGGTTCGTTTTTAGTTAGATTTTGATTCCCCTTCCTTAGTCCTCTTTATCATTATCATCTATCATCACACACATCGGTGTCTCTGCCTTTAGATTAGATTACGTAGGGAATATAATGCCACTGCAAAAGAACAGAACACACAATTAGGGCTGCTCTGGTCTTTCAGATTTGAATGACAGAGAGCAGAGAGAAAGAGAGAGGGAGAGGGAGAGAGAGAGAGAGGACAAAGGCACATATCAAACGTCATCCACATTGTACAGGTCTGAGACACAGGTAAAGACAACGTTACAGAGACACATCCTTGACACGTTGCACTTCTCTGAGAGTCCCTTGAATATGGTCAGAACCAAATATGGGCAAATTGTGCATTCAATTGTCATTCACTTCCCTCTGGTGGGAAACTGAAATTTGAAATTCAGGGAAACGAGCAGGACATTCCATGCTTTCGTCCAGATAGGTGAAGTGAATTTCGAATGGATAAATAATATACATTGATATATATAAATATATATATATATATACTGTATATATATTTTTTTATCAGTGTGCACATTCAAGCTTCTCAGAGTGACCAATCAAGTAAGAGGTGGAATTGTAACTTGATGAGATGTAAAAGGTGAGCGAGGCATTGGTGTGCATCTGGTTTGGACTGACTGTCACACAGCCATGTAAAACACTGTCCTTAAGTTAATGTAAATATATATATAATTGACACCACACCCTCTCACCTGCAAACACGCCATGAAGTAGCAATTTATTTGATAACCAAACCACACCCTGCAGACAGCAACAAGGGCAGCAGTCGGCCTCTGTGGAGGGCATTCTGAATACATCAGTGTCGGAGTTGGAGTGATGAAACAGTGTATATTAAAATATATATATACACATGTATTTCCACCAGCTTACTGCTGTTGAGTCAGGGTGTGGTTCATAAACAGGAAGTAGCTCTTCAATGTAACAGTTAAAAAAACAAAAAGAAATTAGAGTTGCACTTACGTCCACGATGAAGAAGTCCAGCCAGCACCAAGCGTTAGTGAAGTATTTCACAAAACCATAGGCAACCCATTTAAGCAACATTTCCAGGATGAAAATGTAGGTAAAAACCCTGTCAGCGTACTCCAAAATGATCCGAATGGTCTTCCTCTGCTCGATGTACACGTCCTCAAAGGCCTGTGAAGAAACCGGAACATACGGTTAGACGTCGTGATGGCAGTGAAGGCAGCATCAGAGAAAACCAACAAATTGTCATTTTTAAGAAAAATAAATTCAGATCCGAGGATGTACGTTTGTCATCGTTTTTATTTTAGGAGAATTGAACATGCTGGAGAAACTGGCCACGATCATTCCCCAGAAACAGATCTGTTTTGTCTTTCTCAGACCGTCCGGTCAATTAATCACTGACACGGTCCTCCCTCCCCCAACCAAGCAGCTCCAGGACTGAAACGCCACACTGACAAATGTGCTGCTTTAGCTCTTGAACATTAAGATCTTGAACATAAATGAATTCACTGCCTCTTTATTTTAATAACCCGTGTTTTACAGCAAATGCTAACACGGGGTTCCTCACCAGGGCACCACTGCTGAGGAGGATCATGAAGATAATCAGTGTCTCAAACCAGTTGTGCTCCACAATCAGATAGCAGGTTTTTCTCAGGAACCACCAGCTCTTCCCCCAGCCCAGAGTGATGTCCACGTCACAGCATTTGTATTTGGCCACACAAGCTGCGGACACACAGGAGACAGATGATCGCAATGTCCCATAAAAATAGTAATGTGTCAGAAATATTGCCAAAATGTCAAATATGGTGAGTTATTAGCTACAGTATTATTGGAGAAGAAAATCATTTTAAAGCTGGTCTACAACAGACAGAGTCAATAAATTAATAATTAAATAGCCAAGCACATGGATGAAAAGCTGCACAGAAGAAAATGCATGTTTCTCAAAAGATAAATATCCAAACACGACACAGTTAAGGATTATGACATTTAAAAATGCCAAAATTATACAGTATAAAGACTAATTCAAAGTGAATGTATTGTTCCAAAATGTACAGAACAATGATCCACTATATGTATGAAGTGCTTCTTTACATCGTTACAGTCCTCGACCCCTGCTAACCCAGGGGGCGCTCTGCCTTGTGGAGTGGGTGTAATGAGTGCAGCAGGAGCCGCAGCCTCACCATCTGTCCAGCAGGACTCTGGTTCCATGTACTCCTCCACCGGCTCAACCACCACCACCTCCTCAACATCTGGTTTAATGTCGATGGTGCTGCCCTCTGATGAGCTGGTGTCATCCAGCTGCACGTGCACACACAGAACACAGCATTAGTGATCAATCGTGCACATTTTTTTTTCTTCCCAGACTGGAGAGGACGCTATCACAACAGAGAACCACTTTTCTCTTCTGCACGAACGCTGAAATGGAATATGGAATGGCAGATCATGTGCTTTCCAAATCTTCTAAATGCATTTCCTCCAACGACATCAGCAGATATCCATTTCATCTACATTGCTCACTGGCTACAGCCACTCAAGATGACTATTAAATAATGGAGTTGCAGCAGAGATGGTCCAGAGTGGTCGGCCACGCCCATGGTTTTACAGAAGTCAGAGGAACGTGTGAGCAGCAGCAACAAGGTGGAACTCACATGAACCACATCCTGTTTCCTGTCAGACAGAAACCCTCCACTCACCTCTTTGCTGTTCTCGTTGTCCGACTCACTGCTGAAGTCCTCTGTGTTGAGATTCTCAAAGTCGGACTCTCCCACGGCTATGGGCACGCACACGGTCAGGTTGGGGTTGTGGATGAACGACATGTGGTCCTCGTCGATCATGTACTTCCCCACGCTGCTGCCGATGCCGCTGGTGGTGCCGTTACCGTTCTTGGCGTAGTCCAGATCGCGGTTGATGTCCACCCCCGTGTGATTAGCGATGCAGTTCAGTTTCTTGTCGTACATGTCGTCCAGCGGCTTCTGTTCGTCCTCCATGGGCGGCTTCTTCAGCAGGCTGGCCACCAGTATCCTCACCTTGACTTTGATCCACGCGACGCCTTTCTTGATGCGCATGACAGAAATCTGCAGGTTGTTGGGCTCGCCGTCATCGTCTGTCGCCGCCAAGTTGTCAGCACTGAATGAGCTCAGCAGCAAGGCAAGGAACAGGTTCAACACCTTTGGACGCAGACGGAACAACAGTCAGTGGTCAGTCTATGATCACCAGTGTTGGACAGACGACTGTGTTGGACATCTATCATCACTTATTCATAAAAAAAGTCTTTACTAATTACTAAAATCAAACAGTCTCTTTTCATATCACCACTGCTTTTTTGTTAATAATTGATGAAGGAACTATTTTAAGTCTCTCCTCTAGTTTAAAGTCCGGTCGATGCTGTCATGTATTTTTAGTTCAGGCTTCACTGTAACTGTCAGCACTTGTGTTTTTGAAGCCCGTCTTCATGCTGCTCTGCTGTCAGAGCCTCCATCTCAATGAAACTGACATCAGTTTTTGGGGGGAATTTGAAGTCTCCTGCTGCTGGGACACAGTGTGGGGGGGTGGAAGGGGAAATGCTCATTTGACCTTTGACCAGGTCAACTTTTACCATAGAAAAAGGATCTTCTACTGTTCTAAAACTGTGACACACACTAAAGTAGCATCTAGCTCAGAAACATACAGTCCTAGTGATTTATTCTGATATTTCCTAAGCATTAACTCTAGCCACACAGCACGTTCCCATTTGTGTTGAAATCTTTTGGAAACGTGACCTCTTTTTAAAGTCATTAATCGAATGGATGCTTTTTATCAAGTGATTGAGCCGCAGTCACAGAGCATGATGGGAGATTAGAGTCGGTCATTATGGACCGGAGCTTAAAGAAAGTGTAAACATTAGCATCAGGTCTGTTTGGTCCAGATCTGGAGTCAGATAAACCATCACTGGTCTGACAAACTCACCACCAAGTTGCCGATGACCATGACCATCATGAAGACGATGAGACACATGCCCTGACCCGCCACCTCCATGCAGTCCCACATGGTCTCGATCCACTCGCCGCACAGCACCCGGAAGACGATGAGGAACGAGTGGAAAAAGTCGTTCATGTGCCAACGGGGGAGTTCGCAGTCGATGGCGATCTTACACACACAGTCCTTGTAGCTCTTTCCAAACAGCTGCATGCCCACCACAGCGAAGATGAAGACAATAATGGCCAGCACCAGAGTCAGGTTTCCCAGGGCGCCCACAGAGTTCCCGATGATCTTGATCAGCATGTTCAGAGTGGGCCACGACTTGGCCAACTTGAAGACTCTCAGCTGGAGTGGGGTGGAAACGAGAAGGACAGGATTCAGTGGTGACACGAACTCAAATGTGCACTCTCTGTGACTGGATTGGCCCAAATCAGTATTTACCAAACGGAATGACCGCAACACAGACAGGCCTTCGACATCAGCCAGAGCCAGCTCCACTAAACTCAGCGTCACAATGAAGCCATCAAAACAGTTCCAGGCTTCCTGGAAGTAGTAGTAAGGATCCATGGCCACCAGCTTGAAAAGCATTTCCCCTGCAAAGATCCCCGTGAACACCTGCAGGGTGAGACACAGAGACATAAGATCGTTATGACACTGTGTTGAAATGGACCAAGACGTCTGAATTCACAAGGTCAAAGTTGAAAATGGAAGTCGACTTTGAATTTAAATAAATAAAAACACAAACACAACAACTACAAAACAGTAAATGAAAATGAAATCTTTTTTATAGTTTGAGAGGTCCTTAAGATTTTGTGACTTGTTTGTGTGTGTACCTATGTTTCAGCCATTATGTGTGAAATGAGGGTAAGAAAGTGCTGAGTCTTCACAACAGCTATGATAAACTACAAAACTTTCCCTTTAACAGGACAGAGGATAACATTGGTATTCCACAGGGACTTTACATCCCATCATGGAAAGACAAGGGGGGGGGGGGTTCTAAGACACTTTAAGTCTCATTGGCCCACAATGCCTTTCTGTCATTGGTTTTGGTCTTTGTGTTTTTGTGTGTCGTTGTGATGATAATACCAGGTTTGATCAGGCTACAGTGAAAACAGGACTCAGTTTTACTAAGTTTTCAGCCGAGCTGAGTTATCTGATCCGTGATTCAGGCACCATTTTACAAAGTCTATCGATCGACCTCTGTGAAATATTAATGCTGGCCTCCCACCAGTCAGTCAGTCAGTCAGTCAGTCAGTCAGCCGACCAGCAGAGTCAGGCTGGTTTCACTAAAGCAAACATCGGCTCCACTCAGCCAGATCAGAATGGGAACATGTGTGTCTTTGTGTGTGAAGCAATTCAAATCATGTGGAAAAGTGGAAGCAGCCGGTGCTGGAGAACCTCCTTCTACAGAGACAAACGTGCCAGTTACAGTAGAGTCCAGGTTCAGAGCTGATGGAAAGGAACAGAAAAAAAAAAAAAAAAACAAAAAAAAACAACTTTGTCGCCGAGTGAGGTTTTAATAAACAAAGACACAGCAGTGTCACTCACCAGATTTCCTACAGACAGCATATCCTCAAAGTCAGTGGTCATGGGGTAGTGCTCCATGGCCATGAACAGAGTGTTGAGCACAATGCAGATGGTGATGGCCAAATCCACGAAGGGATCCATGACTATCAGGTTCACTATCTCCTTGATCTTAATCCACTGAGGGCTGCACTCCCAGATCAGGTATGTGTTAGCAAAATTATACCAGCATGGCGGACACTTTCGCTGAGACTCCTCCAGTTCTGAAGACATAGCGCGGATCAAACGTCAAAACCAAACATAGTGGCGTGCGCTTGCATACCGCATGCAATGGTATGAAATAATAAGAAAAAATTTATGCATTGTATGTATCTGGTACTCTTCAATATGCAAAGCAGATAAGCAGGAACTTCATGTCAAACTAATCAACCAATGAGAGCAGCCCTAGTTAAAGAATAATGAGAGAGCAGGTTAAATAGCTGGGTTAAAGTGGCAGTACCCTCCACTAGTGTGTTGGTAATGACGCTCATGACACTGTTGGCCCGCTCTTTCCGCCCAAAGGAGGTATTGAGCTGGTCCACAGACACCATCAGGGAGCCCGACAGCTTCTTCTTCACCTCAACCTCAGTAGTCGGCTGTTAGGAGGAGAGGAAGAATCAAGCACCCATGGAGAGGACATGAACACCATCCCATCTCACCACCGGTGGCCGGCGGAGGGAAGTGCACAACAGCATTGGCAGGAAAAAAGTAGTTTAAAGATCAGAATTTTGGGTTCATTAAAAGAAGGCACGTTTCATTCTTCTCTATCTCAATGCTGGTTTCAGGGGAGGTGTGTGTATGCTGTAAATGCATGCAGGTCTCAGCCAATGTGGGAGCAGTGGTCTACGATAACTGTAACTGCTAGCTGTGTGTGCATGTAATTAGCTCGTCTTGCTTATAAAGTCAATGGTTCGTGGGAAACCTGTGTTGCTTCTGCATGAATGCATTTTCAGTCCTGTCATGCAATAATGGAGGCTTTGTTGCCATTGCAATATAATCATCAGGTCATCTAACATGAACGTCCTCCAAATATTCATAGTCATTTGAACATTACTGTTACGTTCTCAGCCTACTTTCAGAACCATACAACTTATATTGCAACCATCAGGTGAAGACCGTCGTAAAAGATCATAATGGAGGCAGGTAGATCAGAGCCATCCAGTTGTCATGCATGAGCATGCTCCAAGTCAAAGAGAAGGAGAGGAAGTAACAAACATCATAGCATTGTTCTCTACTGGTCTATGTCATGCTGGTTAGCTAACCTAAGGGGCTACGTCTACCATGCTAACTAGAATGACTAAGCATGAATTCACTTAAGTTTAACTGGGAAACGTTTGGAAAACAGAAAGAGTTAAAGACAGACGGGGACGACAGCCCTCCTTTGTTTGTTAAGGGTATAATGGAGGCCTGGTAGAGTAACAGAGTAATGTGGTGTGTTAAACGGTAAACTACTGTAGTGTGTCTGTTTGTGGCTCTACAGTGCCGGTTCCCTCCGTTTCACCCGCCTCTTACTGTAGATCTACCCACACAGGCTAGCAGAGGAGCTGGATTCCTGGAGGAGGAACACATCAACACACTGGAGCATGTTAACTCATCAGGAGAGGCTGTTTGTTAACAAAAACAATGGATTATCACTGGAGTGTGTGGACCTGACCAGGTTTGTGCACTCTGTTGGTTTTGTAACACTCGTGGTTACATTTATCAGACAAAAGGACAAAGAGACCACTCTGATTGACCTAGTTCTATGGCATAACAATCTAGACTCTGAAACGCACCCCAAAATTATTGTTTGTTTTTAATTATTTGAAAAACTAAAAATGTTGAATTTTTCCTTTTCCTTTCCTTTTTCCTTTGCCATCAGATTAACACTCCGTGGTCGCCACTGGCTCGTTCTCTCATGTATATGACGCAAAAACAGAACCTAATACTGTATATGTCATGCACAATAAGCTCATTTTTTTACAATCGTACACAGAAAAATAATCTTATGCTGACTGCCTGAGAACCAGGCGTACGTACTGTACTGACCTATTTTATTTACTTTACTCCGTCTGTCACAACATTTTGGGGATGCAGGCCTTCATTTCTGAATTTGTTATGTTTAGCTGAATAAAAGTGTCTCTCACAGCGTCTTTCTTTGTCCTTTTATATGTTGTAACAAAGGCTCAAGTAACTACAAAACTACTGGTTTGAATATTTACATATATTGTGTATATAATGATGTAAACAGTATGATGTTCTTGTTATAAGGCTAGGCTCATTGAGAACAGTCACTGCCTGTACACTGTCGTGTTGTGTTGTTGTATATGTTGAATGCATAGACTTACTGCCACGTGAACATGTTCAAAACTTTGACATTCACTGTTTCAGTCAAACATGGAAGTCACTGACAGACCCAGTTCTACTGACCAATCAAATAAAGGGTTAACTGAGGTATACATTAACTGACAAAATTTGACTTTTTTTTTCTCCATCCTTTGTCTATAGTCGGAGGGCAGCATACACTGCAGGGGCCGGGGGGAGGAGGTAGGGGGCGCGAGCGCTTAGCCAAGAGATACATACGAACTTGCAAAGATGACAGAGTAGAGGAGAGAGAGCCAGAAAGAAAAGGTTTCGGTCGAGAAGTGGGGCCATGCCTAGATAGGTCTACTCATTGACTTCCTTACACTGTCGTCAGTAGCTGCCTTATCTATTTTCACCTCAGGCAGAAGGCGTCCACCGGGCCCGGGGCCGATGAGGGACACCACGCCATTGCAATCCACCGTGCTGTTCCTCTTGCCGTGGTAGCCGCTGTAGCTCCTCCGCCGGTACGGGCTGAACAGGGAGCCTCGGCGCTCCTCGCACTCCTCGACGGTGCTGTGCTCATCGTCGGCAAATTCGTTCTCTGAACCCATGTCCTTACGGCCTTTGAAGCTGAAGATGCTGCTTTTACTGTTATGGCGGGAGAGGAATGGCGAGCCGGGAATACTGAGGAGGGACTGGATAGAGAGGTGGGGGGGGGGGGGGGGAGGAGGCGAGAGAAGAGGAGAAGTGTTAATGGAGCCCACGGTGGTTTCTGACTTGCGATTGATTGCACCATCATTTTTATGCAGTTTGTCATCAGTCCTGTGGCCTTGTTGAAAGGCAACATCTGTGTGAAATATCATGCAGCCAGAACACATTTCCCAGAGGAGGCATTTTCTGCTGGAGGTGTCACGTGACTTAATAAACATGACGGAAATACATAATTAGGTCAGAGATATCCTACACTGTCAAGGTCACCCACACAGACACAGAAAACCCTTACTCACACACACACTCACTCACACACACACACACACAGCTGAAACATCGATGAGCAGCACATGAGTCATGACATCTCTCAACCTGCTGTTGCCATTGATTGATTATTGATCCCAGTATCATAATATCTGCTCACCATGACAGTGAGCAACACGGAGAGAACATTTTGTTTGGTGAGGACTTCAGCTCAGCGGGGGTCGCTCCCTCTGAAACATTCATTTGACGACTGTGAATTATTGAGCAGCTGGACATGTGCTGCCACAGTCACTGCACTGCACACTCTCTGCAGCAGGAGCACCGTCAAGATGATCAACATCACTTCATGTCAAAGACAAAAAAACAAACAAACAAAAAATCCCAGCGACACTTCTCCCTGCGCTCTTTATTCTATTTATAGAAATGAGGTTTGTAGATGTTGTTTTGTTGACATGCAGAGTTCTTACTGAGCTGAAGTCAGCGGCAGACCTGTGTGCTGCACCACACAGACATAAAGGCACAAAGCATCCGCCCTGAATTGAAGCTAATGCTACAACAGATTGTTCAAAATGCAGGAAAATTTATTTTTTTACTAATATGAAAAAATTTAAATCTTTTCACTACAGAATCATTCATTAATTCATCGTGTACCAGTGAGGGCGCTATTTGTCCATTACAGGTGCAGAAACAAACATCCAGTCACGCTCACACCCACAGTCTATTTGGAGCCAACAGTTGACCCTCACCCCTGCCCTCCAGGGTTTTTTTTGGATTGCGGGAGGAAATCTGACAAAATCCACACACGAATGGGAAGAAAAGGCAAACTCCTCACAGAAACACCAGAGGACCAGACCAACCTAACACTCCTGCCACTGTGTGGCGCACTCTGAACATTTAAAGCTTTCTTGGTGACCTTTATGTCCTGTCATCTCGACCTTCCCTGGGCCTGAGGAGGAAACGCTGTCTATGAGACAAGATCGGGGTAAAAACCATCGTATCCATGTCGCCTCCTGTCTCCAGTGTCCAGTGGGTAAAACTCATGGAGCTCATCACTTCAGCTCCTTCTCCAAGTCCCAAGGATCAACACAGAATTTGGGTGGATTTGTTTCTGCTCTGGACTTGTAAAACAACTAAACCCAAGAAATTCTGTTTCACTTATCATAGTTATTATGTACTAAGATTTGTGTTTTCCTGTTACAAAATAAAAAACTGCTCTCCTCACCTGGTTCATGATGGAAGACTTTCGACCCAGACGGTTGTCAGGGAAACGGAACCGGCTCCTCTTGCTGCCGTCGTCAGACTCCGACTTGACAAACTTCTCGCTGTCACCTTTCTCCTTCTCCTGCTCTTTCTGCCGCCACTTCTTCTTACGGTTGCGCCGCTCTTTGGCACTCTTGGAGCTCAGTTTGGACATCTCGGACGAACTGCACGAGAGACGTCCTCCTCCTTCATCCTCCGCGGCGTCTTCCGACACGGTTCCCGCAGAGGTGGCCATGGCGGCGGTCTGGGGCGAACAACACACGAGTCCAGTCAGAAAGAACAGAGAACAAACGGATGTCGGATAAAAGTTCAGCAGCATCACGAGGAGCACACACCTGGGCGTCTTCCTGTTGTTTTTTAAGCTGCTCCAGCATAGCCTTGAACTCCTCCTCCTTCTGAGCGGCCTCCTCCATTGTGGCTTGGTTCTGCTCCTCATAAGCCATGGCTACCACAGCCAGGATCAGATTGACCAGGTAGAAAGAACCCACGAAGATCACCAGAACAAAGAAGATCATGTAGGTCTTTCCAGCTGCCCTGAGGGTCTGTGGAGACGGAGGAGAAGTTTTTAATCTAATGATTGATGACTTCTTTATGCTCTTTATTTTCATAATAAGTTAAAGTTCTTGTACTTGTACTTTTAAATACATTGACCTGACATTAAAGAGAGTATCTAGTATTTACTATTGTGTAACTGACTCATATGATGAGACTGGAACTGACGTCATGGATTAGAAAAGAAAATATATATTGTTAGAAAAAACTGCAGGTATTTTGAATTTCTCCTTTTTTTCACTTCATAAAAGTCGTCCTGTTCTCATGAACATCCTGAGCGTGCGCTCAAACCCATGACGTTCATCAAGGATTCTGCAAAATATGCATTTCAACCGGTTTTTGTTTGTCATTACACAGACAAAACAGAAAGTGAGGAGTTGACTGTGACTGTGACGCAGTCTCCAGCAGCACAGCACAGCAGGAGCAGAACATTCCGGATGAAACATCTTGAGAAAACTGCTCCCTAAGTGTAATAATGTGAAGGCGACCTCCATTTTAATGCAGGTGGATAAAAGGCTGCTGATGAACGGAGAATTTCTTTTTTTTTTTTTACACCAGACGCTGCATTTTTAGCCACTTCCTCCTCTTCTTGGCGACCGGCACCTTCTACGGTGCAGTAGGAGCACAGCACCAGGGGAAACGTCCTGGACCGGGGATGTCAAAGTCCTGACACATTAATTGTGAATGTAGTTGACATGTAGTGTTAAGAAATGAAGAAAATAAACCAGTACCAGTGGAGCAGGACACAGGTCAGGCTGTTGAACCCTGCTGCTGTTTGGAGTTTTAGATCCGAGGTTTATTTTCTAGGGGTCTTTTGACAGGAAGTATTAACATTGTTCTCACCAGCATGTAAAGGTTTTCCCAGAAGTCCTGTGTCATGAGTCGGAAGAGAGCCAGGAAGGCCCAGCCGAAGCTGTCAAAGCTGGTGTAGCCGTAGTTTGGATTCCTCCCAGCTTTCATGCAGGTGTAGCCTTCAGGACAGCGGCTGAAGGTGGGGTTAACAAAAAAAACAAAAAAAAAAACAACATGAGGAGATATATTTATTAACACAGATTTTAAAACTCATCAAAAGCTCAAACTGATGAGAAGATTTAGACGAAGTAAGAAAGTCAACTCACCCAGAGTCAGAGCTGTTCCCACAGAGAAGAGCATCGACCTGGCCAGGCAGGAAGTAAAAGTTTTCTGAAGAAAAAAACCAAAACAAAAATGACACCATGATCAGAAATTCCAAACCCAAAATAGACTGGATATTTTTTTTGTCCTCTTTAACCGGTGCCAGTTTTAGCATATGGTCTGACTCTGACGTCACCCCCGCTGCCAGGTCGTCTTTGGCAGAGGTCTGCACTCACCCTTGTTCATGATGTACTCGTTCCAGTCGAAGCCCTTGCTGCCGTTGGCCAGACTGGACTCGGTGATGTTGATGGGCCAGAACACACACTTGTGGCGCAGGTTGCCCATGAAGAGTTGGAGGCCGATGAGGGCGAAGACGCTCAGGCAGAAGACGGTGAGGATCATCACATCCGAGAGCTTCTTCACAGACTGGATCAGGGCGCCAACGATGGTCTTCAGGCCTGGAGAGCAGCCACACATGTGGGTACACAAACCTGGGAGTATCTGCTGTGTCCACCCCCACTACCACTAATGAATGGTGGGTGTTTTATTATTTTTAAATTCATAAATCTCATTGAGAAATAATTGAATTTAGCTGGAATTTACAACACTGAGTCAATATATTATATGGAGTTTAGAACGATATATTTGTCAAAACAATTCTATTTCATTTGAAAGCTGTGGTAAAAACTGATTTAAAAAAATATGTGTAGCAGTTTATATATTTAGCAAAGGTAGTAATACATTTTGGACAAAACTGACAAATTACATAAATGACATCTCTAGTAACAGAACAAACAGGAAATATTTACAAGCCTTTCCGCTCTTTTTATATATATATATATATATATATATTTTAGTATTTCTTTTTCTTAGCCAATCACAGATCATGTAACAAAAAAGAGGGGGAAGACTGTGGAAAAGTGAGAGGAAATCCATAAGAAAGAGCGCACAGCAGGGGGAAAACACATGCAGGTCATTTAAACTCCAAGGCTGAACGGAAACAGTTCAATGCCGGTGCCGCGGAGGGCACTTTCTTGAACTGTTTTGTATAAGGTGTCAATAGGAAAGCACTGACTCCCCATACCGCGACCCTGCAGTCTGTCTGAACCACAGTTTGACTCAAGACAAAATCAGTTTACCTTACAGACCGGCATCTCTGTGGCAGTGCTCGAGGTCCTAGACGAGCTCAAACACAGAAGCTGAGTGACCCGCACCCACTTCTGTGTTTGGCATCTACAGTACAGATACGGGGCTTTGCCAGTTGCACCTAGTGTACCATCTTGTCAGATATGCTCTAAATCGAGGCTCAGACATTCAGACAATCCCAGTAAAAGCCCCACTTGCTTGGCAGAATCAGAGAAGAAAGAAAGACTTTCAATTTGAAATCAAAGCAAATCATCTGATCAGCTGAGTATATTTTATATCCAATATATCCATCAATCCTGGAAGCACTCGGAGAACATACTCTCACTTGACAAACTAAAGTTTGTTTGCAATATGTGATTAGTTTGCTTTTTGGCAGTGAGTTAGACGAGAGCCAATCACATCACCATCCTTAGACCTGTCCAATAAAATCAATGCTTTGGCCTGGCTTAGTTTAAACATGAAGCAGTACTTAAAAAATTATTCATATATATATTTTTAAAAATAGAACTAAATGTGAATCATGGAACATTTTGATGACCATGAAGACTGACCAATAGGAGTCTGCCGCTAACATTTTGTATGAACGTGCATTTTCCTCTTACTACTATAAACCTGAGTGCAGCAAATTGTCCGTATGTAAATTGTGTGTTTAATTTGTAACGTCCCATCTATTTTCTACTAAATGGGATTTCAGTAACTTGATTAAAAATAAATATTTTGAAACCAAGTTAATTTAAATGTTGAAGTGATGGCGGCACAAAATGACATCATCATCTTAAAAAATGGCTTAATACCTACATGAGGGAACAAAATAATTCAGCATTTACCAACACATTCCTGTCGACAACTCTCGGCCAAAAGGCTAACTACGTCACACAGACTATCTCTGAAGTGTCCACAGTGGTACTCCTGAGGACACAGGACATCTGCTCAACGTCTTTTATCAATAGGTGAATAGATGTGCGGTCAGCAGCACTTTAGAATAGGTCAAGAGGTTATTGAACCGTCCCATCTGTGTCCCCCACCTCAACAATGTGAACGAGCTGTTCCTTTTCCTGTGTGCTTTATCATTCAATCAGGTCAGAAAAAACGGAGGAAAGGAAAATCAATAATCAAATTAAAAACAAAAAGAGGGCAAATCAAACTTTCAATGCCATTTGTCAGCCAAGCTCTTAAAGGCTAATATTGTAAAAGCAAGTGACTGAGAAGCATCATGCAGCGTAAGAGGTATGTTCACAAAGTAGGCTTGGCAGTCTTCATACATAAGTAATAGCTGTGTGTTCTTCCCTCTCTCTCCCTCTCCCTCTCTCTCTCTCTCCCTCTCTCTAAGAGCAAGACCATTACGATCATGTGAACGTCACCACATACCAGGTTTGAGTTTGAGCCAAAAACAAAAACAAGAACAAACATCTCCAGATCTCCAGTTTCCAATTCAATATTTGGCTGAAATTGGGCCACATCTTGAATGGATTTTTAAAAATACATTTTGTAATCTGTAATCTGTATTAACTGAGACAAAACGATGTATAGATTTGTACTAATACAAAGATAGAGAATGCTGTGTAGAAGTGTTTTGAACCTATTGGTCAGACTGTAGACACAGCTGCCCTGACAGATGGGTGTGTTACTGAGGCTGCACAACTGTTGGATGGTCCTAGAGGAGACTGCAAAGCCTATCAAAAATGTATTAGTACCATTTTTGATCATTTTAGAGGAGAAATAAAAAATTCAAACAAAATGTCTCCAATTCTCTGGTTAAATATCTTAAATCATAATCCTTATCATCATAATAATAGTGAGTAGAAAAGAAAGGGTGAGAGGATCAGCCTTAGTGTTTAAACTGAGTCTCACCTGGAATGACAGAGATAGTTTTCAATGCTCGGAGAACTCTGAATGTTCTCAGCGCAGATACATTGCCCAGGTCCACAAACTCTGTTATATATCTGAAATAGGGGAAGGATCACACACAGAACAAACACGATGACAAAAACCACACACGCCAAGAGCACAACACCACCGAACCAGGAGGAAACGACGCCACTCACAGAGCCTGTCCACTGAGGAGAAGGGTGGAAGGAAAAAAATAGGAAAGAAAGACACACACGGCTAACACCGACCCCGCCCCACCGTCCCCACCCCCTTCCTGTCTTACCTGGAATTACAGAAATTGTTTTCAATGCCCTCAACACCCTGAACGTTCGCAGAGCTGAGACATTGCCTAGGTTTACAAACTCTGTTATATACCTGCAGGATCAAACCACAGTTACAACAGCTTGTTATTTACATGCAGATGTGAGGTAACAACATTGACTCACACACAGATGGGGGGCGCCACAGTGCAGGGCCATGTTGTTTCACGTGGGACTGATCCGTTTTAGGGTTAGTGTATTTGCTCACATGGGAGCGATGTTGAGTTACTGCATGATTTTTTCCCCCAGCGCTTCTCAAATGATTACGATCACTTAACTTTCACACTAGTCTATGAGTTTTTCGGGCAAACCTTGAATTCACACGTCATGTCATCGTCCGTACTAGTTTAACTGCCCTCTGTTTGCATTTTCTCTTTTATTCCTTTTCCTTTTGCAAATTTCTATTTAGGGTGAAGTTCAAAACAGAACAAATAGGTGGCAGTACTGAAGCTCAAAGACGCTGAGCTTGAGTTCTAAACCTCTTATTTATAATTAATGCTGACAGTAAGACTTACCAAGGAGGGTTCGACTCCTGCTGGCTTTGACGTGTACTAATTATATTCAGTTAGAAATAATATCTAGTTTTTGAAGCAAAACTTGTGAAAAAGACTGAATTACAGATTACAAATGGTCAAAGTTGCACAAAGTTTTGCCTAGGGGGCGCTATGGTCAATATAAGGTATCAACAAGAAGCTATGATCTACGGTATTATGCAACCAAATTTATCTAGGAATTGATTCAGGAGCCACCATTTGAGAAACACTGATTTAGTCAATGTAGAGATGAGATAGAGGGCCTTATACTGGATGTGCAGGATCCGGCAGATTTGAGTAAGAAAAGCTGAATGAAAAGGAGATTTAGGTCAGAAAGAAGACAGAGATCAGAGGAGGGGATGAGGGTGGAGTTGAAGAGGTCACAGATTGTCAGATGAAAACCTTCGATTTCCACAGAGAAAGAAGCAGAGAAGTCTCAGATGAAGGAAACACGTGAGATGAGTTATTAGACAGATGACAGGTGATAAGAAAGAACCACAGATGAACAATCGTCATCATCACTACACAGTACACTTCACTTCCTTTCCCCACCTATTGTATCGAAACAATACCCTGCAGATGAGCTCATTATACGTCACCATCAGTCACTTGATGTCAAAAAAACAATACTTACGCCATGGAAATGACCATGAAATCCAGCCAGTTCCATGGATCTCTAAGGAATGTAAAATCGTCTATACAGAATCCTCGCGCCGTGATTTTTACAAGAGACTCAAACGTATAAATTCCTGTGAATGTGTACCTGTAAGACAAAAGTGTTGGAAGAATGAGTTCAGTGTTGCAGAAAGGGACAAAAAGAAATCACAATAAGAGTTTCACACTGTCTTCTCTGGACATATTTTCACAATTTTTCACACTAGCCTGCTGCCATTTCTGTTGATTTTGATTGAAAAAGTAAAATGTTGGATAAATCCGTGCCTTTGTTATGCAAGTGGACCAATGGATGGACCATTTATTATAGACAGACTGTGGTTTAACCATACATTTCATATAAGAGTAGCATGTTAGCTTAGCAGTGCTCTGAATTAAATGACACCACTATTAGGCCAAGGCAGTATTGTGACAAGGCTAATATGCTAACATTTATATCCCTGCATGCACTGTGTGTGTGTATGTGAGTTAACAAACAGAATATCCAAAACAGGAATGTGTGTTTGTTGTCCAACATGAGGTTTAATACCACAGCAGGGTCAGGTCGCAGTCTAATCCCACGTCTTTCTATGATTCTCCTGTGTGAGGACATCTGCAGTTTATGGCAGGACTATCGTACTCCATTGTTATGCAGATGACGAGGAGTTGTTCCTCCAAATCAGATCCATGCACCCCATTGGCCGAGGCCTGTCTCTACATATTATCTCTTTTATCCATGTGCGGAGCTTTCTCATATCATGCATAAAATACATTACCAAATGTGTACTTACTCTACTTGTTTCGACCACTCGGGAGGATCACTAAAGGTCATGAATATACAGTTGGTCAAGATAGTACACATAATGATCATGCTGAAAAGAGTGAAGCAGCAGGTTAAGGAAAATGTGTGTAACATGAGTAATCACAAACATCACAAAGTTTTAAACATCTACAGTTGCTAGGTCTGTAAAATCTGTGGACACTGCACATGACCTCGCCTTTTCTTGAATTTCCCTTTCATTTTCCTCTAAACAGGATCACTAATGACAGTAATGGCTGTTGTAGGGATTTGTTTGCTTTAAAATTAGACTGAGGTTCACAGTTTTAGCCTGTGCTAAGTCCTGACCAGCTCAGTCATTTTAGTCAGCTGTGTGTCGGAGTCCGTTGGACGTTTCAGTGGTCAACCATAATGGACTTTTGGAGGAGGTCTCATTCACTGATTAGGATGACTCATTTGTGTAAGCCATTACTTGGATTAAATGAGAAAATGGCCGCTGCTGGACTTCCTGTCTGCTCTTCCATGTAAGGTACCTCCACTAACCCCTCCCCCCCCACCATCACCATCCTGACTGTATAAAAGTGAGGATCTGTAGCTTTTTCTGCAGCGACAGTCACAGTTTAACAACACTGGGTGAAAGGATATGAATGTATCAAAATTTTAATAGCTATTCGCCTAACTGGATTAAAAGGACTTATGAAGTACAAGGCAGGTGTGGCACTAAAACGGAAGATTGTCTTCCCTTTGTTTAGCACTATAAATGTCTGTGGAGAGAACAGAGAGAAGAGACAGAGACAAGAAGGTTAGTAGACGATCTCAGGTCGAAACGTACAAGACAGAATTTGTTATAAACAAATAACTCATATGAAGCGTCAGTATACTGGTTAAATACAGTAGTACAGCACAGAACACAACACAAGCTAAGCTAATAAATAAAAGATCACGTGCGGCGTGCCCTTTGTGTCTGGTCTAATCTGCAGAAATGAGTTTGAAAATGGCTGCCTGGATGTTTCTAACGTCGGCGTGTTGTCCCAGTCACTCAGTTCAATCCTGCTCTCCGTGGTTTTGGTGGGTTTTTTCTTTTTTTTTTTGAAAGAAGGAAACGTACAAAACAGAGAGGAAGCGACGAGCCTCTGTGGAAAACCTCATAATTGTTTAAATAAAACATTTGCTTGAAACTTTAATGAGACTCCGTGCATTTGCACAAGTGATACTGGCCCGTGTGCTTTTAACAAGGCAGCCCTCACTGCATTAAGCTCTGCACAGTTACCAGCTCAGACCTGAGGCCTGGAGACAGCGGTCCACTAACCCCTGAGGAGGAGGAGGAAGAGGAGGAGGAAGAGGAGGAGGAGGGAGTGGAGGAGGAGGAGGAAGTGGAAAGGTGTACAGTAAAAGACCTCATGTTGAGGTCACGTGACCGTGACGTGTAGTGGCAGCTGCACATGTGAGATGATGATGATGATGACAACAATGTAAACATCCAATTTGGGAACAGGAAGTAGAGACAGAGAGAGAGGGTGCTGCACTGAAGAAGGTAAAAAAAAATCACCAATTCTCTTCAGTCATTATCCTGTGCTGTAAGTCACAGTACAATATAAATGTACGAGTATCTGATGGAAATCTTTCCAGTCACTGACACACTTGTCAAATGTCCCAGTTTCCAGTTAAACCAGTGGTTCTCAACACTAGGGGGAGGAGGGAGTAAGACAAGACACACACACAAGACACACACCCGACTCAGGGTTTGGTGAATGGGGTTCAGTTCCTCCAACCACTGTGTTAGACACAAACTTCACACATGGTGATCGTGGTGGGACCAGTGACCAAGACACATACATGAGCTGGACCCTGAGTCCGTGTGGGAACAGAAATGAGCATCTTATGTTGCCATACAGTACAGCACACACACGTACACACACACACACACGTACAGCTGCCATATACAGTATGTGGGAATTTTGTAACGCATGACTAAAGTGCAGCAAAGCTACTGAAAATTTCATAATCCAGAGCAGAGGAGAGGCAGAACACAAGGAGAGGGTGAACGAGGCAAGAGAGAGAGAGAGAGAGAGAGAGGGTGGGGTGGGCCATCATCAGGCTGTGGTAGTCATTCAAAGTAGCTCTTCATTCAGCCCTGGTGCTAAATGGATATTTGACTTTTTTATATGTTTCCTCTTTGAACTTACACATTTATAAAATAAAAATGAACCCATGTTTTTTGTTTTTTTTGGGGTTTTTTTGGCAGTTTTGTGATGTAGTTCCAGGAATCCTATTCTGCCTGTCCCTCCATCAGGGGTCGCCAAAGCAGAGGTTTGCACAGTGATTTGGCAGTTTTTACACCGGATGCCCTTCCTGACCCACCCAACCAGGGATTTGGAGACTCGGTGGTACTGAACCTGGAGGACATCATACTGAGCTCATCCTCCTCATTAGAACTATAAAGTCAGGGGCCGTTTGTAAAGACCCCCAGAGTATGTCCATTCAGGACCACTGTCCTGACCTTCACAGGTCGACCTCAAGGACGTTATGTTGGAGTGGATATATTTTAGAAATGTCTATTTTTACACCTCCAGATTTTCCAAGAAAAACACATTTTGCTGGGTATGGCTGCAGCAGAAGGTGAGGACGTGTTCATGCATCCCCGCACATGTCGCCCACTTCATCCATGTCCTCATTTCTCTCCTCCTCCTCCCTCCCTCCTGCCTCCCTCCCTCTCATTGTCTTCTTATTATACTTTCTTTAATTATACCCACGTTCTTGTACATTGGCAGCGAGCTGGACCAGGTCTGGATCGGTTCTGCATGGTACCGACCTGATACATAGACGCGTCATCCCTCGGCCCGCCGGCCGGCCCTCTGTCATAGTTATTGCCCCATCTCGAGTGCCGTCGGTGAAGATTTGTGATCAGGGCCACGGACAGCTTTCTTTAACAGTTACCGCTGCCACGGCACGTACACAGAACGGGGCGTCGGTGACAAAGACATACAGAGAGGGACGTTCTATCAAGGTCACCACCTGATCTGACGTCACAGCTGTTACAGCTCCAAGATTCAAAGCAGCAATTGGCTCCCTCTGGCATCAGGACGGGACAAGATCGAGGGCCATAATTAGATTTGCCTGAAGCTGAGAGCTGACGGGGCCGCTGCAGGAGGAGGAGGAGGAACAGAGGAGCCCACGTCTCTCACATAACAAATAAAGGACACGTGTGACATTAGGAGACAAGTGAGCCACGAGCTGGAGGAGAGAATTTACCAACAATCTCTCCTGATCCTCGTAAACCAAACTGGTGTGTTACGTAACGGTCGGCAGCAGATGAACGGCATGAAAACGAGAAGGTCTGAGAAAGATGGAGGGACAGAGAGGTGCATCCTGGGAAATATATACAACATTTACACAGCTAAAGGGCACTATTTTGTGTCTGGAGCAGGTCAACTGTACGGTCGACCATAGAATTCCACAAGTTTGTCATTGTAATACACATGTCAATCAAAACGTGGATAAACCTGAACATCCTGATGTAACAGTGACATCAGTTCAGCTTCATTCTACTGAAATGAAGAAAATGAAGCTGATTACATCACAACTGATCCAGTAGTGGTCTTAGTAGTTTTATTTAGTAAGTACCGTGTTGAAGATGTAAGATTCATACAACTAAGTTATTAAACCTGCAAGAGCAGTAGCAGCTCAACTGTTCTGTCTTTCAGAATGTGCTAATGTCGGGAACATCTTAAAAATGTCTCTAAAAAAATCCTACGGTACAACGCCAAAGAACAAAGTCATAAAAAGTATATTAAAGAAGTGCAGTGACCTTCTGGTTCAAATTTAGTCCCAGTCGACTTCAATCAGTATTAAAGCCTGGCCTGATTAGTTGAACACAGCCCTCATATACTCACAGGAATTGAAGAAAGACACACAGACCTTCTTAAAGGGTCTTGCTTTTTTTCTTTGTTTTTCACAGCCATCTGCCGCCACCTAATGGAGGAGTATTTACCGATTCTATCTGTCATTGTTGCATACAAGATGAAAACAAATTATTTGAAGTAAATAAATAATAATTTTCAGAGCAGTTAAAACTGGATCAGTTTCACAGACACATCACAGCAGAGCAACTCCCAAATATCACTCCAGGTCTCAGCGCACGTAAACACTACTTCAAGGTACAAAACAGAGTGCATTTTGGGAACACATTAGACGCAACCTGAGAAAATTCTGTGGTAAAAAAACAGTCTCTGGTATCACTGTCTCGATTCTGAGTCACAAGTCTAGTCCAGCTCAGAGTTTTGGATTACAGGTCCACGCCAAGCTGATAGTCAGAGACTCTCAAGGTCACGTCGTTATCAGAGATGACAGAAACCCCCAGAGAGACACATGTCTCCTCTAAGACAGCCGTCCTCACAGTCTGCTGCTGCCCCTTCATCTGCTGCCAAAGATTAATTTTTGGTACAATTAGAAAACTCCGTCGACTGGAACCACAGCCTTTCCACGGTTACCGTGGCTGACCTTTTCCCCAAAGCCCCGCCAGCACGGCCGTGATGCGGGCGTCCCGCACACACACAACCGCTCAGGTTTTAGGTTTGACTCTGCGACTGAACAGAAAAGTCCTCCAGGAGGAAACGTAATTATTTCGTACAACGTCATCACAAAATGAGACAACTTTAATATCCGTCCACCGGAGGGCAACGCACCACTGGACCTGCTTTGTTCCAGTCATGACTTATGACTCATCAGTACGTTGTGATGATGATGTCAAAGTGACATCAGGAGACGACTCATTTACTGAGGATTGTGGGAAACGTCGACAAGGTCAGTGTGTATGAGATCAGCAAAAAATCATCAACAGTTTATTCTGCTCTTCACCTGATATATAATATAATACTCAATATACTACATATACTACTATGTATATGGAAAGTACTTTTTCCTAGTCATATTTTTTAGGGCTTGAGAGTTTGGGCGACTGAGAGACGGGGACAAACACCTCTGGTGGATTAAAGCAGAACCACAGTTAGAAACAACCCTCGGGTGAAGCAGCACTGATCGTTGACATGGTGGTGGTGGGGGGGTCATTTGAAATCTTCCTGTGTACATATATACATATAGAAATACAGTTGACTTGTCTGGATTCTAAACATCATCTTCCTTTCTGGCCCAGACCAGGATGTGAGCATGAAGTGGCCCACATGGTCAGTAAGATGAGCCTTTACCAACAAACTACAGGAATCCTTGACCAAACATTCGACCTAAATCTAAAGACTAATTCTGACTGTGGTCAGCCTACGACCCAGATGTGGCAAAGAGAAGCGCGTCCACATTTCATGATCTATGTGGGCCAGATAGAAGTTCTGTACCAGGCTCATCTGGAACATAAATATGTAAAACCTACTTCAGTGTGTGACTCACTTTTTGAGTGTTCAGGTAGTATGGGTCCAGATCCTCCAGTGGTACCGCCACCATTCCTCGAGGGGTGTCCCCGTAGATGTAGGGCAGACTCTTCCCAGCCTCCAGATCGCTGTTGGGCCTGGGCTTGTTCTCGTCATCATCGTCGCGGTAGCTGCTGTCCTGCTTGGGCGGCTTCCTCTTCTTCTCTTCATTGATGCGCTGCTCAAGAGCCACCAAAGATTCCACATTAAACTTCTTGAAGCTATCAGGTCCTGGCGGTGCAAGAAGGGGTGCAGCCATGTTTTCATCCTGCAGCTACTTTAGGTCTTTAGGTTTGTACCATCCACGTTAGCAGCTCTGCAGGAGACAACAAAAAAGAATGGTCAGCAGTCAGAGCTTTTCATTTTGTTTGTATGGTGTATTTACGTCATTGAAAAGGCAAGGTAACCATGGGAGATCGTGTCCAAGTAATAAACCATTTTTCTGTCTGGAAAAATAATAAAGATAATTACTATAAAAACAACTCGTTCTGTCATTAATACAAACAGAGCAGTAACCAGAGTGCATGACGAAGTGGCTGCCGATCAGTTGTGACATCATCGGTAAAATGCCTCTCCAGTTTTCATGTCTGTGAGACTTCTTTCTGTGATTTTTGTTTGGGCTTCAAAAGTTAAAATTGGGATTAATTTTATTCTATTTTTTCTTTCCTTTTCTTAAAAAAAATGGATAACTTCAATATACTGTAGTACAGCTGCTTTCTTTGACATAGACAGGGTCAAATGGACGTAAAATATTTGATATTTTGACTCTAACTTCCAGTTCATTATATCCATCCTCGGGCAGTAATTAAAGACGTGTTCCAACAGTCCATTAAACTGACAATTATTTTGGATTGATTTACTTGTTTGGTCGATAAAAGGCAGAGAAAAATACCAAAGCATCAAAAGGATAATGTAATCAAATATTTGTAGGGGAATTAAAAAACCTTAGTTTCAGTGTCAGAGTGGAAACAGTATCAAAACATGAAGTCGACGGTTGATTGGTCAGAGATTAAATCAACTGTTACAGTTCTGTTACATCATCTCTGTGAGAAGCGTCTGCTGCAGCCGATCAATAACTGAATTAATTACCAATTAAGATGCAGGAATTTTAGGGAACGACCAGGTGGAACTACGTCTTTACTCCTGCAGGGGGTGCGATCAACACAATTTCTCCCAGTCAATGAAGTTAGCACTTCAATAAAACAATACGGTTTATGAAGGATGATGATGTCAGGCGCGATCAACACAATTTCTCCCAGTCAATTAAGTTAGCACTTCAATAAAACAATATGGTTTATGTATGATGATGATGATGTCAGGGTTAAAAATAACTAGAAAGATATAAAGATATTCTCTAAAGAGTTTAGGCCTCTGAATAATCATCAAGCGGACACGATGAGGTCTGGGTGCCTTAGCTTGGTTAACCATCGCAAAAAGCACCACCTGATACATACTGTAGAGCTGTACGCTCTGTGATGCCCACTACATTCAGTGCTTCTGAACCTGTTTTGTGACAAAAATAAAATAAAATGTTAACAGCAGTTTTACCCGTCGTTTTAGTCGAAGCTGATGAGCTAAAAGTCACGGAGCTCAGTTGACATAAACACTGCAGTAAGTTATGGTAGTTGTTAAAATGATTAACTAGGAATGCAAAATCTGATCTGCCGATTTACAGCCGGAAAACAGACTGTGATTTTTTTTTATGGCTTTATATCGACAACAAGAGCTGGTTGTTGTTGTTAATCTCTGGGCCTGTAGTCACCAACATCCTGTTCTCTACAGAGTCAGGTGGATTCATCAAGCTTGTCTGAATCACAGGGCCCGTCACTCTCCTGCTGCTCCCCTCTTGCATAACATCCGTGTTAAACATGCTCGATGTGTAAAAAAAAAAAAATCACCCAGGAAGACTGTGGTCTGTGTGTGTGTGTGCATATGTGTGTGTGTGTGAAAGAGAGAGACAGTGTAGAGAGAGAACGGTGGGGGTGCAGCCTGTGAACCAGTACGTCTGATTTAAAATGGACCCTGGAAGCTCCCGGAGCCCGAGCCTTCTGCTGCTCTGCTGGAGCTGTCCGTGTCAGCACCACACACACACGGACACACGAGGGCGTCAAAACCCACAGACACAGCCTTGGATGAACAGAGCATCACGAGGGGAAATGAGACGAAAATATGATTTTTTATTTTTTTTTAAATGCAGCAGGCCTTCACCTCCTCCTCCTCCTCCAGGCCTGCTGCAGTTTATCATCCTCTCCTTCTCTTCTCTTATTAACTCGAGCTGACAACTAACGTCTTGTTGTCTCTCTTGTCTCACGGTGGCCACATACTGTATCTATCACGGCGGTGCAGTCATTTCCAAAGGGGGAAAAAAACCCTGCACCTTCTGGTAACTTCTCAGTCACGTCCACCGGCTCTCAATGGCAGCGGTGTTTGTACAGATGATTATATACAAACGGTCACTGTCTGTGTCTCTACGGCAGATGTCAGGATATTACTGAATGAATCTTTGCTCTGGAACATAAAGAAAGCTGGTTGCTCCACTGCAGAGCGGTGGCCACCACGGCTACACTGCTGCAGTGCTTGGTTCCCATGTTGAAAATTGCCACGCTGAGGTAAAACGCGATCGAACGGTTTTGGTCTGAAACACAATAGAAATGTCGACGGATGACAACAGAACCCCGAACTGGGCCTCAGCCTTGACAACCACTCTGATGTCAAGCCTTTCTGGGATGTGTTTCTGTGATGGGGTTTTTTTTGCGCGTTGCCTCGCATGATCTGCACCACACCCGTGGAGCCATGTCGACTGCCAAATCAATACGGGCTGCATCTGTACACACACAAGGCAGCCCCAGAATGTGGCACTAACAGCGGCAAGAAAATAAAAGCCAGTCCGTAAGTGAAGGTGAAACAGCAGCGTGACAACAGAACCACAGCCAACATCACCCCGGGGAATGAGCATTTCTACCTACTGATGGTGGTGATGGGAGCTGGATGAGGCTGGCGGTACTCACATAGGATCAGCATCTTTGCCCAACACATCGTCCTGTCAGTGATCGGTATAAAAAACCCAAAACAGAGACTGAAACATAAAACATAAGATAAAAAAAAAAGTTTGGTTTTTGTGTCTTATTCTGTGGCCGGTTCAGTCAGACGGCGCCCTACCTGAAGCCTAACCTATTCGAGGCGCATTTTCTCCCGCAAAGATCAGATCCCTGCCTCTGACATTTTCACGAAAAAAAAGGTAAATCCAGCGTCAATCCCGAGCCATGGATGTGAAACGACTGATAAATCGGGTTTCCTCGGCTCCAGTCCAGCTGACAGATGCTCAGCAACGGCAGACACCCTCTTCCATCCCGCTCCAAAAAAAAGGTGGCAGCGGTGTGCAGCTCTGCGACATTAACGCAAGGAAACGGACGCAAAGAAAACCTCCCCTCACCCAACAACACGCGCAGATCGCTGTCACACGATGCCAAAAAGCAGGAATACTCACTTTGCAAGCGTTAGAAGGAATCCAGAGCCGACTGGCAGGACTGCAGATGTGGAGCAGATTGGGGAGAAACTGCGGTTGTCGCCATATTGTTGCTGCTATCTCCCCCCTCAGCTTCCCTGCATAATTGATGACTCTCAGCAAAATGTGAGGGAGTGTCGGCAAGTGCGTTTCACCAAATCGTAAAGGTCATTTAGGCCTGCAGCCTCCAAAGACCGGAGAGTGGACCACAAAGGAGAAAGGGGAGAGAGAGAGAGGAGGGGGGAGAGAAAGGGAGGCTGCAGGAATCAGTGCCGAGGCTGCACCAGACCCTGGACACAAAACTGCCTCAAGATCATTTCACACCAAATGAAAGAAAAGGAGAGCGGCCCGGCAGTGGGCCGAGTTTGTCAGTGCAGGCATTTCCACAGGGCTGTAGGCACCAGTGTATCTGTAGGGATATGTGTGCCTGACTATATATACATATACACACTACACACATATATAATATACATGTATAAATATATGTATATATGTACATATATAGAGGGGATTACATAAAGATTTGCTGAAGTTGTCTAAGGGATTTTCCAAATCTATTAGGAACACAGGGGCGTGCACTGACGGACCACGTCAAAAAGGCTCCTCACGAATATTTATTAATAACCACTTTGTTTCAAGTGTTTTTTAATGTATTTAGGGAACATGGGAAATCCATATGTTTGGGGTTTTTTTTACTTTTGTTTAATTAAAATAATATATTTTAGCATTTAAAACAAACATGTGAAACTGGGAACTCAGCAAAGACTTCACAGCATGAACGGATATTTATATTAGATTTATATATTTGTACAGTCAGAGATGCTACAGAGATGACAACATGTCAGTCATATTAGGGTGAACAGGAGTCTGTGGACAAGACTTTATTATATTATATAATAAAGTATTATTATATTATATTATTATTATATATATTTTTAAGTTTCTACTTATTTGTTTGTTTGTTATTTACCTGTTTTTTTTTTTTTTGTCAGAATCACAGAAGTTTTATGTCTCCTCCTGTGTTCCTCCTTCTCTCCAATAGCATGGCATAAATTTGGGAAAAACACTCATCTGGGTAAAGGAACCCAGAACGGACCGCAGACCAACATTTGACCCACACACACACACACACACTGTATTCACTGTAACTTTGTTAATTTATCTTTACCTGTGTTAAAGTTGTCGTCACAATTTCAAAATAAGGACTAATTTATTAATAAATCCAATTCAAGTCCATACAATGAAATATATCAGTCACATTGTTTCCGTTTTTTCAAATCCGTGTCTTTGACTTTCAGTTCATTCATTTTCTACCTTTTCAAGGTCATCAGGTCCCTGACACCAACCCCTGGACTCCACCCAGGTCAGACCTCCAGTCCGTCACACACGACACAAACAACCGTTCACACGCTGCACATTCAGATCTATGGTCCATCAAGTCAGAGCAAAGACGCTAATCTGCGTGTTTTTGGACTGAGGGAGGAAGGAGGCCGACACACCCACATGGAGAACAGGGACAGAGCTCAGGGATCGACCCTCTGATCCTCAACACGTGACTCCTCATGATGAAACCCAACCTGGTACTTAGGGACTGGGTGGAGTTGAACCCGGCACCTTCAGGTGATAGATGGTACTCTTGTCAGTGCTCAACTCTACCGCCCCCTACTGCTCATCAGTGCTTGCTGCATAAAAAAAATCCAATTCCTTCAAGGCTCCAGTTCATCTGAGACACAAGTCAATCATCAGTAACATTTGCTGTAATATTTCATATATATAAAAAAGAGAAAACGTTGACAAACCATTTTCTATTTATTTGACATGAAACACATCCAGTGACAATGTGACAGTTGTTGTTTAGTCAGACATGTTACAGGTTTATGCACCATTGACTGTTTCAGAGAGTTTCTGCTGCAGCTCCAGATGCATAGTGAACACACAGTCGCTGAGGTATACATGGAGGGCCCTGGGATTTGTGACGTTTGTGTGAAAGACCCAAGAATTCTTTTTTTTTTTTTCATGTTAAATTGCAGTTTGTGCTTAAGATGACTTTGGAGTTTTGAAATGTGCACCAGTCCTGGCTCAGAGACACCTGGCCAGGAAACGCTGAGCTCCATCAGCGTCCTTGATTTTTTTTTTTTTTTGTTGTTCAGATATTTTTCATCAGATCTTGAAACTGATGAAGGGACGACTTAAAAAAAAAGGACGTTTGCATGAAAAAATAATTACAAGAGAAGGAATCCTAGAAGGAAACGATACATTTGAGGGGAAAGTCTCTTAGTGATTAGCACCGATGTCTATTGAAAAGGCTTCGAGGGCAAACGCGAAATCTTTATTGGAGCACGTCAGAGTGAAACGGTGGCAGCAAAGCGGTTTTTAGACAGCAGCTCAGAAACTTCTGTTTGTTATTGTCGATCCTAACAGAGTGCGTGTCCGTCACTGGATGAAGATTCTGTTATTGATGTGCTCTAAGTCAAACCTCCTCTTCTTCTTCCTCTCACTCAGCTGTTTGTGCAGACATTGTGCTGTTTAAAATGCATGATACGTTTATTGATGAAATCTTGATAAAATATATTTTTTAAAAATCCAATTTTAGAGGAAAAGAAATTAAATCAAAAATACAGTGGATGCGACATAAAAAAAGAAGAAAATGAAAAAAAAAAGGTTTAATATTCTGGTCATATTTTCTTACAGAGGACAAACCAGAAAAGCTAGATATCACTGTTAAACTGGGCACACACACACACACACACACACACACACGCATACAGAGTACACACACACTAATAAAAACAAACAGAATGATGTTGGAAAAGTGCACATTGTTCCTGCCAAAATAATCTGAACCTTTTGATGTCAAACCTTTAAGGGAAGAATACAGTCAAGTATGAAACATCAGTCAAGTCTTAGTTCAAATTGTCGCGTTCACATGAACAACAGCAAACACAGGCTGCAGACGTCATCCTGCTCTCATTTCTGCCCAGTATTGACTGCTGTTCATTAAATGTCACTATTTTCGTGTTACATTCAGGAAGAATTGTTCGTCGAAGGTGATGATGAAAAGGAAAATGACTCCAAAATAAAAACAAAAACACAACCCCCTCGTGCCCTCCTGTTAGAAAAGTTTTTTTGTTTTTTTTTTTAACTGACATCTGCTTAAAAACAGACAGCAGCACAGACACTGATGCTGTTATCGGGCTTCATAAGGCTTCATTTTCATATGTTTGAATCTCTTCGTAACTGTAACAGTTTTAATGGTGCCGTTAAAAAAGGCAGAGAATGAGGAACAACACAAAGATTCAAAGTTAGCACCTTGTGTCGGGTCAAGTCAGGGGTCACCTCACCGTCCTGGGGAACATCTGAACGTAAGAGCTTTTTAACCTTAATCTCTGTGATCATCTCCGTTTGATTGCACACCTATTATCAATACTTTACGTTTATCATTACTATCTTTTTTAACTTTAAAATGTGAAGAGATTTTTGGCTGTTTTCCGACAGTATATATATACATACATATATATCCATATATATATATGGATATGTATATCCATATATATACAAACACATATGTACATACATATTTATATATACATATATACACATACATATTTATATGTATACATATACATACATATACTGTATATATAGATGTGTGTACATGTATGTATGTGTTAGAGTGGTGGGACGTTTTAAAAACTCAACATTGAACTCACTTCAGTATATGGCTGATTTATACGACCTGTTCTCTACACACATCTGACCGCTATAAAACTGATGAAGTAAAACTGGACATTCTTTCTTTCTGTGAAGTTCCACGTTCATGTGACGACTCCTGATGACGGTCGGCTTCACTGTGTCTTTGTGCACTGGACTGTAACCTTCTCCACGGTTCTACGGTGGGTTCTCCTCATGCCTTTGTGCTGATGACAACGTCGCCATAATGCAGAGCAGGAAATGTCTGAGAGCACCAGTGGAGTATGACTGTGAACTAACAACAACTACTTATTTGTTATTTGGTTACTTGTTTAACCAAGAAAATGGATTTTTACTGCTTTCATTTGTCGGCGTTCTAAAAGAAAAGGCACAAAAAGAAGTGAGGATGTTCAACGTCCACTGATCCACCGCTGCCATCTGAGCCGTCCTTCTGCTGCATGTGAGACGACTTCTAAATCAGCAAGCACACCCAGACACCAGACAGCTTTTCTCTGCTCTTTTTTGTTTCGAAAATTTCGAATGATCAAAATCTTAATTTCTATCTATGAGATCATCTCCTATTAAAATCACACTGAAAAAAAAAAACAAAAACATGCGCATTGTTGTTTTTTCGTTTGTTTTGTTAAATCCTGCATCAAAAAACTATTCAAGTCATTGTTGGACACGTGTGTGACGGTGTGTGACAGGCCACAGTGCACCCTGCTGGGAAGGTAAGGTGTCAGGTCTGCCCTGTGGGGCTGCACTTGCTGGTGGCACGTTTTAATACTGACGCGGATTTGTTCTCGTGACAGCAGCAGACACGAGGGACGAGGAGGGGCTCACGATGAGGCCGGTGAGACAGGAAGTGGACTCGAGAGGCGTCTGGACTTAGAGGAAAGTGCAAAAGGACAGAGTTCCAGTTCCTCTCAGCAGTTCCAGCCCAACATCCTGCCAATCAGTGATGGAGGAGGTTGAAAGGTGAAACCATGAACACAGAAGGATGAAGAAAAGAATGGAAGGACAGATGATGTTCTTCAATGTAAAAAGGAAATAAAAACATGTCTAATAAAAACAGTAATTTGTGCCATCAGGATGAACAGAGGACTAAAGACAAACTTCCTCCAGGTGACAGCAGAGAAAATCTCAGTGAACCTTGACTGCGGCGGTCGAGCAGGTGGGGGCAGGAAGGAAGCACAATCTCATTCCAGTGCTGGTATTTTTTTTTTACCTGCGTTCCCACGATGTTTGGTGTTTTTAACCTGTGTCTGAGGAGAAACCCCGGGGGGGAGGGAGGGGTCACTGCCGACTGCACCCCCGATTCTCTTCCCCTCACACCTCCCGCCTCAGAGTCTGGCTCAGTGTTCTGCATCAGTTGGAGAAAGGTGGGTGTTCACATGTTGTAGGCCACGTAGATGGGGTCCAGCTGGTCGGCCAGGAAGGAGTCTCGCAGGTGCATCCTCTGCTTCTCTCCTCGGGAGTTTATGGGGATCACGCCGGGGTCCACGATGACCACCACCCCGACGATGAGGTGGTGCTCCTCCAGCACCACGTTGGTGACCAGGGGGACCAGGTCTAAGGCCTCCTGCTCCGAGCCGCTCAGCTCAGCCACCACCACCAGCAGGTTGGTCCATGTAAACACAGCACTGAGGGGACAGAGGACGGGTGAGAGTCATTTACTCTACGGAATATTAAATATTGTTGTTGCTAAAAATTTGAAAAACTCCTGAGATTTTTTTTCTAAATTACAGTCTTATAATATTCTTTATTGGTGTGTGTGTGAGCAAGAGGTTCAGATGACATGAGCAGACAGAGGCTCACCTCTCTGCGATGCTGCGGTGGGCTCGTGACACAGACGTCTCAATGTCAATGGGATGATAACGCAGCCCCCTCAGTTCTAAGGTTTCATCCAGAGAACCGACGACAAACAAGGCATCGTGACGATCTGCAGCAGAAGAAGAAGAACGCACAGGTTGAAACCCCAGTCTGGACCTTGAAGGTCATTGTTCTTTGAATGCGACTGTCCTCTCACCTCCACTAGCGTCCAGCAGCTCCGTCCTCTTAATGAAGCCCAGGTAGCCCGTCCTGGCCCACAGGGTGTGTGGTTCTCCAAAGCTGAGCCGGGTGTTGAAGTGATCTGCCTGCAGGCTCTCCTCCCCGTAGATGGTGTAATAGCCACTGGCACTGTGAGGACTGTTCACCCAGATCTGGAAGGAAGAAGATATTTTCTATTTTTAGTGACGTGTCTAAATGTAGAAACAAACTAGTTCACCCAAAAAAAAAACAAAAAAAAACACTCCTCTAACTCCAGTCCATCTGTCAAACATCAATATAAAAGATTGAAATTCGAAATCTTTTACAGGGAAAAGAGTTTTTTTATCTTTATCCCACAATCCTCTCTGCTCTGACCTCTCCAAGATGGGAGTCTCCCAGAGGACCTCTGGTCTCCGGGTTGACGATGATGACCCTCACTCCAGGCAGGATCTTTGAGGAGAACACAGAGGAGGCTTTAGCTTCAGCTCTGGTACAAACCACTGTTCTTACCTCTGTGGGGGTGTGGTCAGAGTGACCGCCGCACAAATGTCTTCTACTGGACAATAATCAATACTTACAGTTCCTGACTCCATGAGTGGAAGACTCTGTGGCGCTCCTCGCTCCACCAGCCTCACCCTGAGAGACAAACACAGCCATTTCTTAACTTCCTTTCACTCTTTTGATTTGTTATTCAGTGTCAGGTGATAAGTGTGTGTTCTCCACCTGTCGTGACGCAGAGACTTCATGTCCACATAGACGGTGGAAGGATCTGGTCCAGCTGTGCCCTGAGGACAAAGAGAAAAATCAGGTTGGACGTGAAACTTTCAATGATAGAAATACTTTTGCTTTCAATACTGCTATAAAATAAAATATTCATATAAATTAAAGAATTGAAACAAACCAACAGATCAGTGTGAAACCCACCTGCAGACCAATGGCTAAGTTGACCCTGGAGCCAAAAGCAGTACTGACGGCACGTGACGACAGACCGAGGTCTTTGAAGAGCTTGGAGAAGGACTGACTCAGAGCCAGACGAGGTCTCTCCTCTGCCACCACCACACAGCTCCGCACGCACGACAGGTTCAAACCCCGCGCCTGGACAAACACACAACACTCTTAATGATTGCTGCCATTACTGGAAGTGAGGAAAACAAATGAAAGGATGAGCGTGTGTGAGACCTTCAACATTTCCGTCTGCGTGCCCAGGCCTTTGGTGCACAGCTCCATGACAGAGTAGGAGCAGAAGGTGTCTCGAATCTTGTACTGACTGAGCGTGCTCAGCCACAGAGGCAGTGAACTCTCCAGCTCCAGAGGAGGAATAAGGATGGACTGGTGACCTGAGTAAACACTGCAGCACAGACAGGCTCAGTGCAGTGACACTGACACAGGCCTTGGTTTTACAGAAAGACTAGAAGTGACTTTGTAAAAGTTACCTGGAGAGGCACCACAGGACGAAGCCCATGCCACAGTATGGGTCCAGACAGATGGCTATTTGGCGTGAGGAGTAGAGCTCACACTGCAGCTTTATGGAGCGGCACAGGGTACTGATGGCTGCGTGAGACATCTGTCCGGAAATCACGTCAAACACACGTCAGACACCTCAAAGGTTGACTTAATAACGAACATAAACAACAAAGTGTTTACTTTTTTAACAGAAGAATGTGAGCTGACAGAGTTACATGACATATAATCAGTATGAAGGCATCAGATTCACAATCATCTACACAACAAAACATCTAATCAGTTCCTGAGGATAAAGTCATGTTAACTTATATAAAATATGTTGAAAAATCTGTTTTTTTTCCCACCTTGACTCCAGTCAACATTCCTGTGGTGGAAACACTGAAATCCAGGTAAGCCAACATCTCTGCTGTGGGGGGTTTATAGATGTGAGGGGGCCGCTTCCTGGGAAGATCATCTGGAAAAAGCAGGATACAAAGAATTGTTTGGAATTTCTTTGAAAAAAAACCAAAACTTTCCTTTCTGTTGAAGAGAGACAGTAGATGACTGACTGGGGAGAAAAAAACTATACAACTATTGATTATGAGAAAACCTATAAGAAATACAGCGCCGTACCATAGTGTTCAACGATTTTAATAGCTCAAACAGGACACCTAGTGGCCGAATTAGGCAAATATTTTACTTTGCCTCGACCCTGTTAAACCCTGCGGTGTGACTGTGATGTGATCAGATATGAACAGCTTCCTGAACCTGTATCAATGATTGTGGGCCACGTCTTGATGTTGACACTGGCAGCAGCTTCCCTGGACCTGAGGATCCTCATGAGAGGTTGGGTGGTGAGGATGCAGGACGCCTTACTCACCTGTGACACAGAAGAAAAAAAAACACAATTAAGTTGGGTAAAAAAAATTACAATTTCTCACACTATATATATATATATTTTTTTTTTTTCAATTTAATTTCAACTTTTAACCTTTGACAGTGTATTGATTTTTGTAAAATTCATTTTAAAGTAGTGTAAAACAATCGGTTTTCCTATCATCACTATTAGGCACAAAATCACCTCTCGACTCTGAGCAGGAGAATTTGCTAAATATGAGCGAAACTACAACCACTGTGACGACTACTTGCTGCGGTGATGTTGCCCTTGTACTCACGTCGATGATCATGCGGACAGTGGGCAGAGTAGCAGCAAGGTTCTGTGGGTGTGGCGGCCTCACCGTCACAGGGATTACCCCCGCGTATAGGCAGCCATAAAAGGCAGCAATCAGGTCGATACCTGAACAGGGAGAAGACGGTCAGAAACCAAAGTCATTTTGGACAAACGTCTCTGACTGAACGTTCTGTAGGAGCAGGTCTACCTGGAGGATAGAGCAGAACTACATTGTCTCCTGTGTTAAGGCCGCCTCTCTCCATTAAGGTGGCTGTGATTTTTTCTGCTCTCTTGTGCAGCTGAGCACAGGTGGCTGTGCACACTGCTACCCCCTGGTGGAGAAACAGAGAAACTGTAGTAAACATTTCGTATGAACAAAATGGTTAACCAGGTTAATCAGTAGTACTACAGTACACCATACCACATGTAAATACTCTAAGTACGAACACTACGTATAGCTGTGACTAAATAGCTGTGTGTGTGTCTTTTTTTTTTACCTTGGCATTCAGCAGCACATAGAGAACATGATCTGGGTCGGTCTGGGCTCTCCACTGCAGAGCTTCAGAGAGGAACTGGTGCTGAAAGGACAAACAGGACAGAGGCCCAGGTCACATATGTCACTACTTAAACTTTAGGGACGAATTAAATAAATACACTGATATTGAGGTGAAGTAACATCACTGGTATAAATCACATAAAAACTATGAGGATATAGACAGAGAGAAGGCCTGACACAGTCAGACGACCAACACTTCTATCAACATATATATTTAGTCACTTCACTTTGAGAGGAATATGAAAGACTTTTTTAAGGGCACCGGTGATGAGACGCTCTGGGACATTTTTGACCTCACACATACACACAAAAGCACAAAACACCAGTGTAGCAGCATCCAGAGAAATATTTTTGCCAAGTGTCACACTGGGACCATCTGCTCCTGTTTTCTCTGACAAAAACTAAACCACAGGAGAAAAAAAAACAAAAACCAGAGCAACTGCTTGAAGAGGCATTAACAAAGTTTTAATTAACACAATTACTCTAATCAGTATTTTAGAAAAATACTTCTGCTTCATTAAAGCGACATTTTCAGAAGTTGATTCTATCAAAAGGACTGAAACATCAAAAGATGACTTCTTCAAAAAAACAAGAATAGCTTTGAACAACTGGCTTAATGGGAGATAAAAGATATTGATTTTATAAAATGAGAGGTTCCAGTGGATTAAATCCTTACAGTTTATATAGATCTGCAGTATTGAGGAGGATTCAGCAGCAATACAAAAAGCACAGGAGCCTATAAATGTAGAGTATGCCAACAATAAATCAATGAAGATTAATAAACAGGGTGACACTCTCAGGACATGAAAAATAAATCATTTACAGCAGTATCACAATGTTGGCCAAATAAAAATGACTGGCTGGAGTTTGATTTTTTTTTATTACGGTGCCATCCACTCTCTCAGACAGACAGGTCACACACTGCTCAGTAAATCAGGACTCACATCATGCTGACCAGCAGCTCTGACCACTCACTTAGCCATGCTACACGTGGACGCATCACAGTGGACATGGCCAACACACAATATATATGGTCCTGAGTAGATTTATTTAATGTAATTTACATTTATTGTCCAAAACATAACTTTTAATCACTTTAAGTAAATTAACAATCTCCTGGTTTATTCCTGAACTTTAGGTTTTTAGTTTACTGAACATTACTGCCCACATCAGTAGATGACAGTAGATAAAAGAAATGTTAAAAGAGTCATAAACAATCACTGATTTATTCAACGTCCACTCTGTGAACCCATGCTGGACAAAGACTCTGCTCAGACAGTTATATTAGAGCATGGAGCAAAACTGGGGACGGGGGCCACTGGAGCTACAAAAACACATCTGACTGACAGAAGCAGCAGAAGCAAAGAAAGACAAGAGAGGGCCAGAACAGAGCCTTACCATCATGGTGGGCCACATAAAGAGCTACAGCCCAAACCAAGCAAACAGCGGTTGAGGAAAAGACATCAACAGTTTAGGACATTAGTCTTTGACAGAAAGATGGAGACAACCTGGCTGAATAACAACTTTTCATTACATAACCATCTTGCCAAATAATTTAGATAATCTACTGTGTAAAGTCTCACTCACAGTTCTAAAGCTAAAATCAAGTTTGTATCTACATGTGATGGCTTCTCATTATAATACACATTCCCTCTCTCTGTTCACACTGTAGGTTTACTAGTTAAATGCTTTATATGCAAACAGATTTCAAATGTAACGTTGCATCTCTGATATTTAGTGAACAGAACAGTGCTCTGCTCTGCTCTGATCTCAGTACCTTGCGGATCAGATCCTGGTCCTCCACCACGCCCAGTTCTCTGCCTGTAGCCTGAGCGATCCGCTTCCCTGCCACCAAGTTTCCAACCAACATGGAAGCTGGACCCACGTCCACTGCTCAGAATGAGAAACAATCAGAGTCAGGTTGCATTAGGTCAGTCCATTCTTTATGTCTTTATTTTGTATGTGCATTTTAGTCTGTTCATGAGTGATTGTGATGACCAAGTCACACCTGTAGGGGCAGTAAAACATCGAATAAAAAGTGTTTACCTGGCTGTTTCTGTCGTGGTTTGGGCATGTTGGTCACACAGGTGTGGGGGCACATGAGGATATTACATGGGTGCAGATTTCCTTCCAGAAAGTTCTGCTTGGTCTCACAGACGTGGATTCCTCCGAGTGGCGTCTTGGGCAGGGTGTTGGCTGGGACCAGTGCCAGGCAGTAGAGGCCGACCTGGTGGATACTGTCGATGGCCTGGCAGTGGATAAAAGTTACAGGATGTGAGGTTTTAACAACACTCCATGTTAGGAGAATTGGATGTTTTTATTTATTCTTAATGACTGGAAAAATATTTGTACTTAAATTGTAAAATAAAGGACATTATGATTAGTATTTATGTATTTCAGCATTTATACATTATGCCACAAATATATTTTTGAATGCTCTGAAATGTTGAAATTATTTAAATTTCACACCATACACAGTATCTATTATCTATTAGCAACTATTAAATATATATTTAATGGGATTTATGATCCAACCTTCATTCCAGCAGTTACAGAGTTACTGGTCTGAACGTACCTGCAGTACTCTACTCATCCACTGGAAGCTGTCCTCCTCACTGGCATCAGGCCTCTGCTCTGCCACAATCACTATCCTCTCATCATAAAACACTGTCACTGAAAACACTGCAATCCTGTGATAGAAAGAGCAAAAAGAAAAAAAACATTGACTAATATTTTATTTAATATAAATATTTACATTTAAATGACTTGAAGTGACTTTTCTATGTACTGCTCACTTTCAAGGAATGAAAAAAATTGATTAACAGCAATATACAAAAACATTGAAATTTGTGGGGAAACATCAACTTAAAATAAAAAAAAGTGTGGGGAAACATCAACTTAAAATAAAATAAAAAAACTCCCTGTGCATTTTCAAATATTATTATGGGATGTGACTGCAGACAAACACAGTAGGTCCTGGGCAGCGGTGAACTCCTCACCTCCCTCTGTAAACTGTTTTGACAGGCTCCACAGCGAGCGCAGTGGCCACCAGATCGTCTGCGTTGTGACGACGTCCGCTCACCAGCAGCAGCCCCTCGATCTTTCCCACAACAAACACCAGACTTCCCTGTGGAGCAAGAAATCAACCAGGTGAGAACTACAATAAAGGCCCTCCCTACTCAGTGTCCCTCAGTATTTTTGTGGTATTCTTACCGGTCCTACAAATCCAAGCAGACCAGTGCGAGAAAAGGGAATTTCTCCAATGGGAGCCCCAGCTTGGTTGACAGGAATGACCTACAGATAAACAGTCAAATTATGACCTCGTCCTGAACATGCAGAGTTCAACCAATTCAACAGCATGGTAAAGAGTGACACCTGGTGTTTACTGCTGTTCGATCACAGGATAAAATTAAAAAAAAAAAATGAAAGTAAAGGATTTTTAAAAACCCTGGGTAAATTAAATGTGTATATATATTTAAAATTAAATTAAATGTTTCATCTCTGCCTATCCTCACTACACTATGGTGTAAATGGTTAAACAGTGAGCAATAAAAAACTGCTTCATATTCTTTAAACACATTAGTCATTTAGTGACTTTCACTGCCTTAATAAAAAACACAAACCCTGTGGGCGAGTGTAGGAAGAAGAGGCAGGAGATGGGAGCTATAAATGTCTACATGACCATTTTAACTTTGTAAACATTAATCCACATCTGAGGTGGGTAATAAAAAAAAAACATGAAATGATTTTACTGGATCTTTTAGGGATATTTCACCCTAAACCTCCACTAGATAGAGGTTTATAGCTCCATCTAGTGGATAAATCAGTTAGTGACTCCTTTCACATTATCAATTCTTGAGACCCATGAGATTTTTAATGCTGATATATTTCTGATGCAGCAGTGTGTCTAAAAGGGAACAGAGCAACATTGGACAGACCTCAAAGGTGTTTTTGGTCACACCAGGCAGACCGTAGTACATTGTGCCTCCAGCTCGGGAGTTGATGACAATCTCCCCTATTTCATCGGTCTTGCACAGCTGAGGAGACCCTTCTGGTTTCACGATGCACATCAGAGCTACAAGAAATAACCATGAAGTATTAGTATACTTAAAACCTGCTGTGGAACAAATAAAGGAGGCAGAGAATAGACTAAAAATAATCTGTGGATGCAGAGCAAAAGGAGCAGAACGTGTGCCTTTGTATAAAAAAATAAATAAAAACAAACTGCAGTTACAAACCTCCAGGCATAATGTGGCCCACATCCTGAACAGTGAGAGCAGAGTTTTTGTCCTCTGTGTTCACCCTGATCACACCGTGACTCAGCCCGCCCATGGACAGGATGGCTCTGGCTGGTAGTGGAGCACCTCGTGCACCAGGCCTGGAGAAAGAGCAAACACTGGTAAATAACTTAATTTAAATGAGAATTTTTCATATTCACATTCATGACCAAATGCTACTTAATTATTATTATTATGTATTTTGCGAACATTATTTCTCATTTAAAACAGACAAAAGTGCCTGTAATTTTCAAAGACAGTGGTAACTGCCCACTGTCAAAGTTCAGCAGCTTAAAATCTTTATCGTTGGTGCTCTGTGAAAGTTGATACACTAAAGTGAGACAGGGCAAATGTTTGAAGACTGTGACAGTAAGATGCAGTACCTGCGTATGGCCACCGTCAAGGCTTCAGGTGACGTGGCACATGGACAAATGACCTCCGGCTTCAGACCATGAGACTGGAAAACATTCAGGAAGGCATCGCACGATGACACCGACCCTGAAAATAAACAATATTTTTTGTCATTAAGGCAGAATACAGTTTACAAATACATTTAATAAGCAGTGATTTTCTACGTTATGGTTAATGGTAAAAGTGACTCACATGGATTGGCTCCATCTGCCACAATTAGCATTCGTATGGAGGACAAGTTGGTGTCTTTTTGGTCCTTGTGGGCCATCATGGCCCAGTGGAGGTCACGGCACTTAACCAAGGCCACGCGTGCTATGAAAGGACACAAAGGTTTTGAATTTGACAATCATGCGTTGACATAGTATACGAAAGTTGGCAGTTCAGTCGCAATTGACACTATACCATGGTAAAATAAGCAGTGTTTCAAACCAAAACACAACAAGGACCACAAAGTTATAGCAAAGAAACTGATAGAAGTGACAGTGAAGAGAAGTGAAACCTTTGTGAATGTGGACCCTCTGCACCCAGGACATGGGACAGGCCTTCATCACAGCATAGGGCACCGTGATGGTGTGAATTCTGTTCATGATGCTCTGCGAGCAAAACAAAAGCATTCAGGAAACCTTGTCAAACTTTTTGAAAAATGAGGTAGGTTGGTTACGCAGTAAGTGCCACTTCACACTTGATCTCACCGTCAAGACGCCGTGCCACAAACCCATGTCCTTCTTGCAGTCCAACACGTTGACCAGTGTTTCTCCTACAAGAGAGAGAGCACAATGACTCATAAAAGACATTGACATGTATTTGAGGTCTTTGTGACTCTACATCGCACTAGAGTATTAGTGTATTATTGTAAAAAAAAAGCCAAACTGATAAAAAGTCTGACTTATTGTCCGGAAAATACATTATAAAGGAGTTTGACTTAAGTGTGACAAGTCCATCTCTCCTCGTCATCGGTTTCATAGAGAGAAGAGGTCAATTTTGGATAAAGGGCAGAGTCCTGACCTTCACAGTAGTTGCAGGCCTGGGTCAGAGCCTGACAGTGAGTCAGCATGGAGATCTTGGACACAGCAACTCCCATCACTGTTCCCTCCTTACTCGCTTTGTACTGTGGTGATATGGACACAGAGGGGTTAAGTATTAATGTACCGTAAACTGCACCTTTGTTTATGATCTCTAATAGTTATAATAATACCAAATTTGAATGAAAAAGAACTACCATCAGAGCACTTGCGTACCTCTATGTAGGCGGTGTCTGTGTTGGCAGTGGGGATGTGTGGCTGCCAGTCTTTGGACGGCTTGGTCAGATACTTGGTGTCTGTCACCACCCATTTCATCCTCGGCCATCCTGGTGAATCAGATTCCACATAGATATATAAAAAAGCTGACAAAACAAATCAGGACTGACCTAATTTGGCAACCTTCTTGCTGTGACCTCCTGGTTTCACAGCCAATGTTAAAAGCCGGCCTTTAAGAGGCAAAGTCAATACTGGGCTCCACACGTACAAACAGATCTTTAAATCGACTACTGCAAATCCTGCAGTCCTTCTAATGACTCCGTTTAATGAATCCCAACGAGATAAAAACAAAAATATTTTTGCTGAGTTGACAACATCCCCAAATGTGGGTCGACTCTGGCTGACCTTTGAACTGGATGATCTCTCCGTTCTGTGTCTTGGGCAGTCCTTTGAGACACACCTCGCTGGTCAGTGCCAGACTGACACCACAGCTGCCCAGCAGGAAACCAATCTGCTGACTGCCTGCGTCCTGCAGAGAGAGACAAAGGTCAGGACGTCTCACGAAACACTGGGAGATATGTCAAGGAGTGAGACGTTTCAAAAGTATGTTGTCAAAAGAAATAATGGAAAATATTAAAAAGCAAAAACAAGAAAATAAAAAAGCCAGACAATTGTGGACAAAATATAAAATAAAATCTTTACCTGTCGTGACAGTGGAACCTCTATAGGCACAGGGATGACCTCAGCTAATAGGCAGCCATAGAACGCTACCCAGAACATGCCAGGGTCACTGTTAGGATACACCAACGCCACCTGACAAGAAAGTACAGTAGTCTTTATGGTCAAGTCCTTCAATCAGATAGAGGTGAAGTGTCAATGACACACTTACCCGATCTCCTGGTTGAAGGACTGGCTCGGTCTTTGTGCCAAGTTTATTCAGCAGAGTGTAGGCCAACTTTAAACTACGACTCCACAGTTTGCCTGCAGAGGACAAAAACGAGAGTTGGTTTTAAAATAAACATGTTGGTTCTTTTATGACTCTTATTCCACCTGAGCAGGTAACTTTGGTCCAGTCCAGTACAGAGCTAGAATACCATCAGTTCCTAATATTATTTATATTCTTCCAGATGCTCTAAGGTTTGTGATGGTGCATTTACTGACAAGCCGTAAACAGTCATTTGAGTCCGAGTCACGTGACAGCAGTTGGTATAAGTACATCACACAGGGGCTAATAAGTCACTATTGATAGAAACATTGCCCCCTAGAGGATTAAACCTTTACAAATTTAATGTAATATTAAGAAAGAGACCGTGTTAAGCTCGTTCTCACCATATGTGAGTGTGTAGAGGGGTTTGCCGGTGATGTCCAGAGCAGTGAGGGCTGGACTCTTGGCCTGTGTGGCCCCCCAGCGGGCCAGAGCAGCCTGTAGGGCGGGCGGCCAGTTGCTGACCACTCCGAGTGGCTCTCCTTTTACTGGGATGATTTGACGGCCCTCAGGCTTGGGTGTGTTGGGATCTGGCTGAGGAACTGGAAATCAGAGAACAACAGAGTGCTTAGATAAGGATAAAAAAGAATGGACCCAACAACTGGTACGAGTCAACGTCATTGTCTGTACAAGATATGCATTTTTGTACCTTCTACAATTTCCTCAGAGTCATCCAAGAAGAATTCACTGAGTGGAGGTCTTTTGGGCCGTTTCAGTGTGTTCAACAGCTGCTGTATTTTCGTGGAGACTCTGCTGTTGACGGGCACTCCTGAGGAAACGACAAAAAAGGCGTGTTCACAAACACCTAAAGATCACACAGGCAACAAAAAAGCTCACCACGCACCCACCCACACATGCAAGTCTGTTCTATAACACAGATCTCTACGACACACATCCTGACACAGAAGCAGAAACCTAATGCACAAGCACACACTCAGTCCAGATGTAAGAGCAGGAAGAAACTGAAGGGAAAAATTGGTTCCTGAAGAGACACAGATTGGACAATCATGAGGAAAATCGACGACGGGGAAAACTCTACAACTACACCTACAACGAGGGACAAACATGAGGACAGGTAGAGAAACTCTAGGTTGGAAAGCAAGCCGAGTTGGACCTCTTCAGCATCCCGCCCCTTCCCAAGACTTTGATTTTTTATTACCTTTTCTTTTTCCTTTTTTAAATGAAAGGCAAGACAGGTACAGGATAAAATGGACCCAAAAGAAAGAACACAAAATATCTGTGATTAGCAGTAATTAAGGTCAGGATGATTCTGGATGAACATGGGCAGATCTTTCAATCATTTGATCTCTCCAATCAGCTGTGTGGCTGTAAATCACATAATTAATGCAAAATCACAAGGTGTCAATCAGTAACTAGGACTAAAAGCCTTGACCTCCACATCAAAAACCAGAGCCACATACCAGGAAGCATCTCCATTCAGTTACCAATTTTTTTTCTAATTCTAGAACAGTCATTTGCGTTATACCGTCAGCAGTGTCCAACATGCTGGAGCGGCTCTGTCCACGACTCATGCCCCTGACTGCTGGGGCCAGGTCCACTCTGGATCCTCTCTCCTGAGGAGTGGAGGACGTCACATCTGGAGGGACACTGTTTTCTGGGGGGGTGGGTGGAGGCAAAGTGAGCATTAGATCCAGCATATTTAACCTCACATCAGTTAACACTGAGACTGGAGACATTACCTATACGTGTGTGGGCCAATACATCTGCCAACACAGAAATTCCAGGTTGAAGCTGTGGCGGTTGCTGAGTTTTGGGCTCTCCATGGGAGAGGGTGGAGGAAGCAGATGAGGAGGTGGAGGAGCTTTGGACGGAACGGTTGATCCAGTAATCGGGGCTCTGGAGGCTCTGGGCCAGTGCTGCGCTGAGTGCTGCCTTTCTACGCAATGAGCCCTCATCCTCTGATGCAGAAGACGTGTCTGATTGGAAAATCAGTGAATGTGTAAGACACACTGGGTTTTTCTCAGGGGTTGTGGAAAATCATCCATCATCAAGGAGAGCATAAGAAAATGACAGAGAGAGCTTTATGGTCTGTCTGTGGTTTCACTCCATGATGATGATTTATGCTGCCTGTTGAATTTTGTTTGTAGCAGCAGGTTACTGTTCCCGGCTGTTACTAAATTATTGCCACGACTGCTTTAGATTTATAGCCACAAAAAGAGTCTACCTTAGTGTAGCATAAATAATAAACATCCTAAAAAGTCTAAACTTGTAGGTACTCAGTTTATTAATCAGCCGTTACGATAACCTATACATGTCATCTATACTGAAGCTGGCTTCATTCTGGTAATGGCGCTCACAAACAAAAGGCAATACATTTAAAGTGACACTCCCAACACCTGTCACCGTGGGATCACATGCTGCCGCTGCTTAAACACATCCTAACAGAAACTCTGTGCTTGGATTAGTCAGAAAGAACTGCCATTGGTCTGGACCTTCAGCTCACCTGGAGGTGTGCAGGTATCTATGGGAGACTGGACAAAGGCTGAGCGTCTCTTTGTTGGCATGGGCAGTGCCATCTTTTCCTCTTTGTGTTTGGCCAGTGCTGCCTGCACAGCTTCTGTGTGGATGTCTGTAGAAAAAAAAAGAATAAAAACAAATAAAGTTAAGTTGAGAAAAAACATGATGTGGATGGAGAGAGTTTCCAAGCACATGTACCATACCTGATCTGTAACGGTCATCCCTGGCCCCTCCACTGCGGTGTGCACGGTGGTGTCTGGAGGCTGAAGAGGTGGAGGGGCCCGGGGCCTCAGGACTTGGGCTGGGGTCAGCACTATGGTTTGGAGAAAGCTGGACATCTGGCAAGGAAAGATCTGCATCTACAAAACAGAAGCAGAGATAGAGAATACATAATCAGCAAAACAAATATATGCAAAAACAAGCATTAAAAAATAAACTGTGTGAGTTTATGACGCCATTTATATGCAGGCATTAATATTTCATGATACCCAGAAACAAAACATAAATACAGTTCCACGTCAGAGCGTCTAAATTTGGGGTGAAAATAAGGCAAGTATTGGACTGAAAAAACTCGTATTACAGTACATGAAACTAGGTTACAGTATATTTTAGTCGACTGCCGTCTCCTCCCCGAGGGCCAGACTCACTGTAGAGATGACGTTGGAGAGGCAGGATGGAACTGTGGGCTCTGCAGTTCTTCACGGTAATAAAGACAACTTTGAGAAAATAAAACTATATGTACTAAATATATATATGTGTGTGTGTGTGTGTGCGCCATGTTCGGTTTATCAGTTATTCACATCTTAAACTAAAGGAAGGTTTTCAAATATATAACTAAATGTCTTCTTCTTCTTTGTGCTGGTGCAGAGGTGGTGCATTTTCTTTAGAGGAAACACCACGCCCTAATGTGAGGCAGCTGACTGAGAAAATCCAAACAAGTCATCTAACCGTTGAGGACAAAGGTGACAGACTCATTGTAATACTGTGAAACAGTGGAACTTCCCTACAGTAGGTTTACACAGAAGAGAGGAAGCTGTGGTGCACACGTGGCATCAATCCGCATCAAGTGAGGTTACAGCAGGTTAACAGCAGATATTTAAGTATGTGTGTGTGAAAACATGTTGTTTTACTGCCTTTTTGGCACTTTTGGGTTTGTTACCTTGCTGTCCTTCGGCTGGACAAAAACTTATTACTTAATAACTACAAAAGAAAGCTAATGGAAGGGGTATGAGTAATGTTTGAGGCGTTAATCTGTCTGAAATATAATTCTGGTGTGAGTGTACAAAAAGGTCGTGGACATCAAATAATTTCTACTTTTGGCCACTAGAGTGCCCCAGAGAGTCGGTTCAGCTTAAACAAAGAAGGCGCTGAGGACACAGGGAATAGTCAGTTACGGCACCTTTTCACTATAAACACAAAGTGGTCGACACTAAAATCCACACTAAGACGTTTTGCAGACGAAGTGCATTTAAAACTTAACGTCTGTTTTTCCTTCTGATGAAGTCACTTTGAGCTGACCTTAGACTGACCAACAGAAAAAGTATATGGGAGTGGGGAGGAGGGTGAGTAACAGTGAGACATGAAATGAGTTGATCTTACTTGGCAAACGGGGGATGTAGGACGCCAGCAGTTTGGCTTTCTTCTTCTCATAGCCCTTCTGCGTGATGTCACCTGGGAGAGAGGGGACAGCGACACCACACTGTCAGGTTTGTCATTATCACCACACAAACAGAAGACATTGACCAGATGAGGTCTGACACACACATACTAGGTCACTGTAGCTACTTCTTTTGCGGGGTTAAAGTCTTAATAATAATCTCCTTTATACCTAATCTTTTTAAACTAACTCTACTGTTTCTGTCCATTGACAGCCAGGAGCAGACAGAGACACCATTTTTGTGACCTTACGTCAGCCACAGTGAACAAACATGTTGACTTCAAAAAAACGGCCTTCTGGCCACAAAACCCAAATACGATTAGAGCAACTAGATGATATACAGTACAACAGTGAAGGCTGATGGGAACCGTTGGAATAGTGAGCAGAGCAAAGAGGAAGCCATGTGAGTCCAATTCACATGGGACTCAAACATTTATCTTCTCCACCCCCTCTCCTCCTCCTCTGTACAGCCAGCACCACCCCTTCCTCATTCGTCCTTGGACTGCTGAGTCCCACTGCAACCACAGTTTGATGTAAAAAAAAAAAAAGGACAAAGTCTGCTTGAACTGTGACCCCCCAAAACACACACAGTGTGCTTGTGCAACAAACATGGATGAAAGACACACCCTGCAATGTTAACTAACACACAAACATAACAACTCCCACCACCTCCAACACTCCTCTCCGTCATCCCCTGACTATTTCCACTGATAACACTGTAAGTTATGTCAAGTGCAATGAGCCAAGGAGCTGCTCAGTCTCAGTCCCCTGACATCAGCTCCACGCTGAGCAGGGACGACAACGCGACCCACACCCAACGCACGGAGAGGAGGAGGGGGCAGAAGGGAGGGGGCAACAAAGAGCAAAATGTTAAGTTAGAAGGAGCTGGAGAATAAAAGAGGAGGAGCAGAAGATAAACACATGTTGAGTGTAATCTGAGGAAGCAAGATGGAACATGGCCCAGTGCATGTATGAGACAACAATGGAAAGAAAATAAGGACAGAGAGAGGTGCCAAAGTTTAACAGCCAACTGGAGGGAGGGAAAACGGGTGAGGGAGGGAGTGAGGCTGGATAAAAAGGCACCAGTCGGGAGTGACTCAGATATTTTGTTGCATCTTGGAGCTTTCTCATACTGTCGTCAGCCTCCACTGGGGGGTGCGGTGTGTTTTTGAACAATAAACAACGAGATAATAAATTCCCTCAGGACTTAATATGTAGATTACAAGCATGAGTTGCAAAATGTACTCCTCTTGTTTCCCATTCGCTCTATGCAGAAAACTCATGGGTTTCACAATAGAGTGAAAACAGAGAAACAAGAGTGGAAGGGAGGGAGGGAGGCAACAAGTGTGCACTTCAGCAGTAAAAAAAAAAAAAGTTGGCTATATAGTCAGAGTAAGTTTTACAGGGGGTTGTGTGACTGATGGCTTTGTCATTCCATATAGAAAAACGCTTCAATAGGACGGCCAACATTCAGCACTGACTTCATGTCTGGATACGCACTCTGGCCAGAAACCTCCTCAAGATGAAAAACACATCGGCCAATGTGTCCTTAGGTTTCTTCTTCACTGCGTCTGCATGGCTGCACCGTCCAAACAGGCTTGTTTACTAAGAGGAACAAACTCACTGACACAGATTTGAGGACAAAGTCGTCAGCCGTTTAAGATATTTAGGTCAATCCAATTCACATGGGACTCAAACATTTATCTTCTCCACCCCCTCTCCTCCTCCTCTGTACAGCCAGCACCACCCCTTCCTCATTCGTCCTTGGACTGCTGAGTCCCACTGCAACCACAGTTTGATGTAAAAAAAAAAAAAAGGACAAAGTCTGCTTGAACTGTGACCCCCCAAAACACACACAGTGTGCTTGTGCAACAAACATGGATGAAAGACACACCCTGCAATGTTAACTAACACACAAACATAACAACTCCCACCACCTCCAACACTCCTCTCCGTCATCCCCTGACTATTTCCACTGATAACACTGTAAGTTATGTCAAGTGCAATGAGCCAAGGAGCTGCTCAGTCTCAGTCCCCTGACATCAGCTCCACGCTGAGCAGGGACGACAACGCGACCCACACCCAACGCACGGAGAGGAGGAGGGGGCAGAAGGGAGGGGGCAACAAAGAGCAAAATGTTAAGTTAGAAGGAGCTGGAGAATAAAAGAGGAGGAGCAGAAGATAAACACATGTTGAGTGTAATCTGAGGAAGCAAGATGGAACATGGCCCAGTGCATGTATGAGACAACAATGGAAAGAAAATAAGGACAGAGAGAGGTGCCAAAGTTTAACAGCCAACTGGAGGGAGGGAAAACGGGTGAGGGAGGGAGTGAGGCTGGATAAAAAGGCACCAGTCGGGAGTGACTCAGATATTTTGTTGCATCTTGGAGCTTTCTCATACTGTCGTCAGCCTCCACTGGGGGGTGCGGTGTGTTTTTGAACAATAAACAACGAGATAATAAATTCCCTCAGGACTTAATATGTAGATTACAAGCATGAGTTGCAAAATGTACTCCTCTTGTTTCCCATTCGCTCTATGCAGAAAACTCATGGGTTTCACAATAGAGTGAAAACAGAGAAACAAGAGTGGAAGGGAGGGAGGGAGGCAACAAGTGTGCACTTCAGCAGTAAAAAAAAAAAAAGTTGGCTATATAGTCAGAGTAAGTTTTACAGGGGGTTGTGTGACTGATGGCTTTGTCATTCCATATAGAAAAACGCTTCAATAGGACGGCCAACATTCAGCACTGACTTCATGTCTGGATACGCACTCTGGCCAGAAACCTCCTCAAGATGAAAAACACATCGGCCAATGTGTCCTTAGGTTTCTTCTTCACTGCGTCTGCATGGCTGCACCGTCCAAACAGGCTTGTTTACTAAGAGGAACAAACTCACTGACACAGATTTGAGGACAAAGTCGTCAGCCGTTTAAGATATTTAGGTCAAGTCAAAAGGTTCTAAGACAGATGTTATCATTTGAAGAAGTGTCTGATGTCATATTTTATTACTGTGAAGCTTTGAACTGAATTTCAAATTGCCAAATGCAACTGCAGAAGCAGAGCAATTCCCAGAGAAATGCCTGCAGACTGGAGCATTATTGTTGTTGTTGTTGGAAACAGAATTCTGTTGAGAGCGTTTCTAGTGCCCCGAGTGGGGCCTGAAGAGCGGGGCAAGAGGGTGGGACGGGGGTCGTTAGCCCAGACAGAGGAAAGTCTGTAGTGGTGTGGAACACAACAACAGGCACAGACTGGCACGGCCACACTGGGTGTGTGGCTGACAGTAGGCACAGACACACTGACAGTGTCTGAGGAAGTATCTGTGACAGCTGCTGCACCAAACGGCAAAAGCTGCCTCTACGAAAGCAAGTACGCGGTGTTTTGAGTGTGATTCGAGAGCAAAACAGAACAGCGGCTGTATGTGCGTAATCTAAGGTCAGTGGACAGGATATGAGAGTTACCCCACCCTGTGTGTGCACCGCCAAACTTGTCTCCCAGAGTTTGACTAGAGAAAGAGGAATGTGCTGATTGGAAAGCACCAAACTAATAGAGAGGGCCAACTGGCCAAAAGAGCGAGCGCACTGCCCAAAAAACCCCGAGACGCAGGAAGTGATTGTATGCGGGTGTGTGCGTATGTGTGTATTCACAGCTGGTGTAGGTTAAAGGGTGTTGCAGTGCAGAGAGGAATTCATGCTGAGTGAGCCCTGAGTGCGAATGACACGAGAGGCCTGCTCTGTCAAATCTGTGTCAGTATGTCATTTTTTTGTATTATTCCTGACCAGTTCGATCACCCTGGTAATAGAGAGATGATTAAACAATTTCCTTCAATCAACAAATTATAGAAGGATATTAATTCAACATTCCCAGTGATTTTTGAGGATTACAGGAAGCATATGAATCATTACTCCAATACACACTGGTGTCATATTGGCTTGCTAGCTTCACGGTTTAGCCTATTTGCTAACAGAACCACAACGTAAGTAGTTTGTAGTAGTGGTGAAAATTATTCTTGTGTTGTTTGGGTTTTCACCAGTCAAAACACAAATAACACATACAGCATAAATGTATATATATATGTGTTTGTTTGTTTGTTTGTTTTTTATTTTTGGTCAAGGGGATATAAAGGGTGAAATACCTTTGAGGTCTTGTTTGTCACCTGTGGTTAAAATTGATTTTTAGACTTATGTCAACTTAACATAATAATACTATGCAGATTAAAGTCTGTGTAAAGGGATTGTATTGTGTATGTGGGGCAGAGGAGATTAAGAATCAGCTGATTGGCCTCCCAACACCAAGACTAGGATCATGTGTGAACAAGTTCCAGTCTTTTTCATGTCAAACCCACAAACGCAAACGAGTTGTTTCACATCACAGCTGAGACAGCACCATCATTTTTGGATGTACACTCTTTGTGTTAGAAGACACATATAAACACCCCTGCATCCCCCCTCTCTGTATAAGGAAGTGATGTCAGTGCCTCAGTTGCCCACTGTTTCCACCTGCGTCAGAGTTTCATTACTTCTTCTTTGCATGCTCACACAGGTTTGTTGCAAACATGAGTGTGGGCAACAGTCAAGACAGCAAAGTCGACCAACACTAAATAATGACAATGATAGACAAACCAGGGATGGTCTGAGGCTGGGGGTTTTGTTTTTTTTTTTGTGACATTACTCATGAGAACTACGTAGCGATAAAAGTCACTTGTCCACAATCTCGGTGCGCTAATGACAGAAAGACCACAAACTTGAGATACCTAGACAAATAACCACAGTGTGTGCATTCACATGTAAACACACACAGACACAGCGGATAAGAGGAGAGGAACTTGCGTCACCCACAGGATCTTATTTATAGGGATCTCTCTGGAGAAACGCAACAACAGGCAGACTGTGCTAAGAACATGGGTAAATAGCACTGGGCAGGAAATGCAAATGAATGAGTGCGACACCAAGGCCATTTACTGGCACCTGGTCATTAGTGTAAGTAGATGGTACAAGCCTCTGTCCACACTGAAATAGAAA